ACGTCTGAGGAGCACATAAGTCTTTGCCGAAGCATATCGATGCAATGATCTGGTTACAAGGTTAGTCTTAGTAACTAGAATTTTGTTTGATGAGATTTTATTCACCTAGGTGATTTCGGAAGACATCTGGAGGGTCTGTCCACAAAATGTCGTGGTCTTGATAATGCTCTCGATAGGACACTTTGCGAAGCATATTCTGCGGAAAGTCAGGAAGTTCACCCATACCGAGAGTCTTCAGGCAGCCAGGCATACCAAGCAGTGCAGATGATGAAACACCTCTAGGCCAGCCATGTATCCGTGGCCATGATTAGCAGGAAACTTAACCGTTGTTTCCTCATAGTCACCTCGACCGTTCTTCTGCAGGTCATACCTCGATATGGGGAAGTTAGTCACTAAACTTTCTGGTCAGGGCCTCCGATATTCGGTTTGTTAGACAAGCTTACCGTCATGAGTTACTGAGTTCCACGCAGCTTCGAGCTCAGGTCTCGGCATTCCTTTCCATTCAGACTTCAAGTCGATAGAACCGTTGAAGCGTGTTGAGTACATCTTCAAGGCCCCTAGTGGTAGGCCATCCTGTAGGCTGGGGAAATTGTCATTGGCTGACCATGGCTGTCTCCAAGTAGCAGCGAGCACCACCAGTATAGAAATCAGGAGAGCATGGGCAACCCAGTGGCCCCAGGCTCGTGCTCGATCTTTTTGTATGATCACCCGCTCATCTGCAGACTCAGAATCGTGCTCTAAAAGGGCATGTCCAGCTTCATCTTCATTCATGGCAGCGGGCTGTGGTGATGCAAGTGTCGACAGTTATAAGGCCAGCGGATACAGGCGCATGAAAGCGATACCAGTAGGTGACGGGATCTAAGAAATAGAGATGAGTTGTATGAGAGTGCATAACACCAAATCCTCCTCGCCAACGACCCGCTGGTAGGATGTGGTGGGCGGGCGGGCGTCGTTAGGCGGCGCAGCGCGAGGCCAGTGTGTTCAATTCGTGTGTACTGTGCTTTTGTGAAAGGGAGAATCTCGAAAGTGAACGACCTGTTTTCTTGCAAACTAGATACGGTCTCACTGGAGAGTCCCGTGGCTCCAATATAGAGGTCATGGGAAAATGCTCCGGAACTCGAGTCGCTGTGAAAATATATTGAGAGCATTCCTATCATTTGATCGGTATCTAGCGATGTTGGTTCAAGAAAGTGGGCCGCTGTGCCGTATCAGCGCAGTAAACATTTGATCAATGACGGAGGGGCTGGGTCGTTCCTCGGAGTTTTGACGGAGAGACTCATCCTGCGACTCAACTACATTAACCTAGAGAGATGGGATCATCAAGCAAGCACCGCAATCCCTTCGCCCTCTTGTAAAAGTGCACAAAGCATGTATCCATAAGAGCGGTGCTTAGGTTTTGTCCAATACTTGGTCTAAAATCATCCTCACATCCTATATGTGTAGACGACGGGCTCGTCCCGTAGTAAGCGCTAGGAAAGTGGTAGGCATTTGGGGAACAAAAAAGGAGCAATAAAAGTAGAGTAACCACACCGACTCATCTGGATAGAAACCCAGAGTTGACAATGTTCGTATGAGAAAGCCTTCGGCGGTGGGTTTCTCATGGTTTCTGGTTTTCCCCCTATATAAGAGCCATTGCACCTACAGAAAAGACATTGTCACTTTCCAATAGTCTCCATTCATTTGGGAAGAAGACCAAGTCAGTCGCCTCTCAGTATTCAGACATGAAGTCCTCCTATACCTTTACTTTGCTAGCCGCCTTCTGCGCGATCGGCGCCTGGTCACGCCCTCTTTCTCCGCCTGACTCGCTCGGCCGTCGTATGACGATGTACTACAACAAAGATGTCTCAGACGAGGTCGACCCTGAGGCTGATGAAGTTGTCAAACGCATGACAATGTACTACAATAAGGATGTCTCAGACGAGGTCGACCCTGAGGCTGATGGAGTTGTCAAACGCATGACAATGTACTACAATAAGGATGTCTCAGACGAGGTCGACCCTGAGGCTGATGAAACTGTCAAACGCATGACAATGTACTACAATAAGGACGTCTCCGATGAGGTCGATCCCGAGGCTGAGTCAGCAGACGAGGCTTGATATACGAACAACAACACGGCGGATTTCATCAAAACTATGAGCTATGTAGTGGTATGGAAATTGGAGTCATGCAAGAGTTATCCTATAGTCAAGCCAGTTTCCCTTGTATAGAGTCTCAATACATACCAGGCCATTAGGTTTTGTCCACATAGGCAGCTGGTCACGCACCAGATGTTCAATTGAATTACCTATCTGCCTATAAAATGCTCGCTAGAAAATTCACGCTGTCCTTCCGCTGCAACCCTGCTATGTAAGAGCTCACAGTTAGAACTGAAATTGGTGTATCGGTCGTACTTGCTATGAACCAATTAATTTCACCCTTCGCAGTTGTGGGCGCAAGTCCTGTAGCAAGCGGTTGACGAGCACCAAAGAAACTAGCGATTTGCCCAAGAGCGGCGATAGACGTGCCGCGGAGTGAAGTCCTCAACGAGAGTAAGATTATACGAACATATGCCGCTCTGACATAAGACAACCCCACCATTTCGATATCTACGCCGCACACGTAACTCAATCCTAGCGCTCTATCCAAACCTAAGACACCAATCACAAAAGGAACACAATGGATCTCCGACTCGTTGGCAATAGTTCCGTCCTGCGTAGGAGCGCCTAGATATTCCTTCAAGTCCGTTGGGCAGGACAAGTTCCCCAGCTATTCTACTTAGAGTAATGCAGTCCAAATTTCGGAAATATCGCATCAAGTCTTCCATGGTCACTTGTGGTTGGGAAGAGCTGCATATCACTGGACTGAGTCGAGTCGCAGGGTGCGACTTGTCGGTTTAAACATCTCCGCCCAACTCGACTTTCTCTGAGGGGAATTTGAGAATCTTGTCTTTCCATCTTTTCAAACCCATGATGCTGTTCGAGAAGTACAGGCCCTACAGGCCATTACTGGGTGACAACGAAGACCAGAGTGATGCTGATGAGTCTACGACTATCAATATTCAACATTTGAAGCAAGACCGGTGGCTTTGGAAGCTGGTACGAGCTATCCATATTGTAGTCACCACTGTGCTCGTAGTCGTCGTGGCCATTGGTATCTACCGCGAGAGGCGATTCTCACATTCGCGTTGTGTGCGAGAACTACATACACCTTGTACGTGCTGATATAGATTTCGGGTGACTTAAGATCCTAATATTCCCAGCACCAATTATTGAGACAGGGGCAATGGACCACTACAGCACTGTCTTCTTCAATGGCACGATCAATTTTAAAGAGAAATGGGCCGGACCACCCAGCGATGCTAGAGACAAGCTATGGCAGAGCATGATTTACGGTAGGTCTGATACAGGATTCCCTTGCGGTTTTGCATTGCACGACTGAAGCGAATGTGAAGCAGACGTCTGGATACCAATTACCGACGAGGATGTCAAGAACATGGGCAAAGATCCAAAGTCTGTGACCCGTGTTCCTCCACAGTATCGCAACGACTATGGTGATGGAGCCTTAGTCGTATTGGATTTTGCTCATCAAATGCATTGCCTGGTAAGCCCCTCACAAATTGATTACGGTATTTACAAAAGGTGACATTCTGGCTGATAATATTCTCAGGACCTTGTTCGAAAATACACCTACTATGACTACTAGTGAGTTTTCTTATTTGCGTACAGGTTATTTAGAGAGTGTCCGCTAACAAACACCTACAGTATGGAGAAGCAAGATGAGGAGGCTTTCAGCAATCCCCCTCACGTACTGCGTGTACACATAGGTATGCTTCACTCCCCCAACCTAGAGACCTTCTTGACTAAATCTTCATACCAGACCATTGCATCGACATGCTTCGTCAATTTGTCATGTGTAATGCCGATCCCGGCCTAGTTACTTATTTTTGGGTCGAAGGTCGTCCGACTCCGTATCCCGACTTTTCTATGCAAAAGCAGTGTAAGGACCCTCATGCAATTCTACAATGGGCGCAGGAGAAAAGAATACCAGGTTACAAACCGGTTGACCCAAGTCCCGGAGAGGTCATTTTACCGTGGGACCCTAAGATTCTGTAGAATTTCAGAGGTGGTAGTTGGTGGCCTCTGAGAATGCTGAATAATAAGCTGAAATACGATAGTCATCTATAAGCGAGTATACAGTTCGTAGGCTAGGAGCGCCAATGCATGGCGCCCTTTCCGGTTCAGTCTCAGTTATTCGGCAGGGCAGCATTACCATTGGATGAAGAAGCTTGGTATTCGGAAACTGGGACGAAGGATTTCGGTGTGCTGCTGATGGCGGCACCTGCAATGTATTTAGTATACTTATTAAGATCCAAGCTATCTGAACCTGAGTGCGTAAGCGATTGGGAGCGGATGAAGGGCAAGGATCATAAAGGATCTTAGTTTGCAGTATCCTACTGTGTGGGATCTTACTGTGCGGAACCTTACCGCATCGAATCCTACCGGGTGATCAACAGCCACATTATAGAAGACCCCCCGGGTGAACAAGCAATATGTTGTGAAGCTGTTTATCGTTAGGAAACGGTAAATCACCTAGCTTTGGGCCCTTGCCGCACCATCCGAATCGATCCGTCTTCATCGACCATGTCCTTTGCCTTGGCCACCCATACGTCTGAGATACTAGTTCCTGTTGATTATTGAGAGATCTTTTTGAATAAAGAGAAACGACTGATAAGCATTGATTCAAAAGAAAACAAAGATAAAGCGACTAAGGTTAAACATACGAATACCCAGATCTTAGCCCTATATAGTAAAGGGTTAATTAAGTCAGACCATACCAGGCTTAATGAACTTGGGTGTTAACCTGACTCCGTACCTATGGTGGAGAGAAGAAAGCTCTGCTGCTTGATGATTTGAATGTTCAGCAATTCAAACACTCAGAGCCTAGTTTGAAAATGATATCTTCCAACATTCAATACACTCCTGTCTCCCAAGAAACAGCGGATTCCTTCGGAAACGAACGAGAGATCCCGCCAAGGCGACGTCGGTGGAAGGCCGTTGCCTTTGCCGCCGTGGTGGCGACCACGACGTTTGGACTATTGGCCGCCTCTCGAACTGCCACTGTGAGACCGTCTTGTCTAGAGCCGGCTCATCGCCGCGAATGGCGGGCCCTAAGTATCGCAGAACAGTCAGAGTATCTTAGGGCCGTTCAATGCCTGCACAACCTACCGTCCGGGCTCGATCTAGGTGGCAGGCTCTCAGACGATTTCCCGTGGCTACACTTCAATGTTGGCAACTATGGTCAGTATAGTATAGCTTCCGAGAACTTAACGGGCTTCTGATGAGCTTACACGCGTCTGTCTCAACAGCTCATGGAAATGCGGCGTTTCTGTCGTGGCATCGGTGGTTCATCCATCTGTACGAGAAAGCGCTCCAGGAAAGCTGTGGCTACGCTGGTCACCTCGTGTACGATCACCTAGAGCTACTGATATGTGGAGGTAAACTAATACTTCGATAGGTACTGGGACTGGTCACAAGACTGGGAAGATCTTCCCGCATCTCCCATATGGAGCTCAACTATGGGATTCGGGGGCAATGGTGACCCTCGACTGCCTAACACAGACTTCCCTGCAAATGGTTCATGCATCAAAGATGGGCCATTCGCGGATTATGAAGTCCGCTACACTGGCTGGGCAACGAGACCACATTGCCTATCTCGTGGGTTTGGCCAATTTCCTGATTCCCACAATTTCTCGGGTGATGCTATTTCACCTGCGGTCTTGCAAGACGTGCTCAACCAGGACGATTTCGACGAATTTGTCATGGCACTGGAGCGTGGCCCTCACGACGTGATACCGAACGGAGTGGGTGGAGACTTTTTTATGCTCACTGCGCCAAATGGTACGTTAATTCTTTTGAAACCCCTTCCACGCAGCCCTCCGCTCGTGAGTGTAAAGATACTGAACTTCTCCGGAAACCAGATCCAGTATTCTTCCTTCACCACACGCAACTCGATAGGATATGGTGGATATGGCAACAAAAAGACAGAGATCGTCGATTGTCTGCTTACCATGGCTCAGTGAAACATCCCGCGTCCGCCGACGATGTCTTGCCTTACGAGCCTCTCTCGGCCAACATCACCGTGAGGGATATTTTGAACACGGAGACTGACATTCTGTGCTACCGCTACTAGCTCATTATTATCCAGCAAAAGCCATAGACGGTGGAGTAACTCAGCATCCTCACATTGCAGCCCGCAGTACTACTGGATGAACAACTGTTGGTCGACTTCCGGGAGACTCTGCAGTAATTCTATCTGCGCCATGTCAGATTGATCAAACAGGTTCATAAATGGCAACAGATGCACCGGGGCATTCATTCAAGCACCCATCGAAGTGGATAGCTTCTTTGTGGATGGCGAATACCCCTTAAATTACTATACATAGCTAGTACCTCATTGAATTAGGCCATATTCCATAGCCGGCACTATTTAGTACACGAAAGAAAGGTGACGTGGACCCAGTTACTGTCACTCGGAGGACGATCTTATGAGGATGGTCAACTATGTATACTGGTTGCTGTTGATTGAGACTGTGGTATTAGGTCTTACTGAAGAAAACTACAATGGATTGTTCAAATCTGGCAGGGCATCAAAACGACCAAATAAATTCATAGTGAGTTCAGCAATAGCAAACCACCTATAGGTTAGCCCATCTTTACTTTGCGTGCTGTCTAGAACCTCAGCTAAAGGCAGATATCTTTTGCGGCAAGCTATATATCACACAGATAAATAGCGAAAATTGCTAAGATAGAGAGCAACTGATGAATAGCTTTAAGCCATGTAATTACAGAAGTATACTCCGACTGCGCAGTCTTAGCCCCCATTCTTACTGATTAACCTAAAATGTCTGGCATTTCGTTATGCCTGTGACCTCTCCCAGGGACGCCAGGCGACTTGAAGATACAGTATGCTCACCTCAGGAGTCCTGTGTGAAAATATGAAATCAAAGGCTGCGCATATGTGTCGCTGCACAACCGTGGTGGCGTCCGGCAATGTTTCTAAATCTGAATGGGGTTGATGATATGTGCGAGCACCTCAAGGACGGAGTGATTGCCTCGCAATAGATTGAGAGAAGTAAATAGCCGAAAGCAGTCCTCCACGACGACCAGTATCGTTCGGGTGGGATGATAGGGGCACTTTTGCTGGGGTTATCCTCGGAACATTTGTAGCATAATATCTGCCAGGGGAGTTTATGCTTCAAGCGGTCAGTGCTCTGTTTTTCCAAGACCATGAACAGTGAATTTGAAGGAGCCGTCTGGATAGCACGTCTTGGACTAATCATACAATTCTACCAAACCATGTAAACAGAGCTCCTCAATGGCGTTTAAGACGCGCAATTGTTGTGGAATACCTAATGTACAAACTGGGCGAGCATGGAACGCGACAATGGAGCTTAGTAGAGACGCGTCGCTCAGCCAGTGAAGAATTCCGACAAAGACGAAAGGAGTAATGATAGAAACGCTGTAACGTTCCTTCAAGTGCTATTCCTTGTGCACTAACGTGTGGTGGGATGAACGGCCCAGGGATTGGAAATAGCAGTCCGGCCTACTAACACCAATTGGGTTGTCTACTGCCATTAGGTGTTAGTGGACGAGATTGTTTCTGGACACCCACCTTGTTGGCATTGATCCTACCAAGTTATTATCTGCCAAATGCAAGGATGTTGCTTTGCTTCAATACGTCCGTCCGGTCAGATGCTCGGACAACCACAATCGCTTAAGTCCCGAGAGCAGGTGAAGTATCAGGCGGGGAATGGCGATGTATATTTAGGTGGCTGGTTCCCAGACCTCTGGGTCATGTTTTCCTCTCGTCTTGTCTCCAGCTTCTTCCCAGCCAAGCACCGTGTCAGGTATTACCCCGACCTCTCCAAGAAGCCGAAGCCATCGCCCTCGCGAGTCGATCCGGTAGTACGGCATGCCTAGTCCACCATTCAAGGCTGCGCTCGCAGTTGCTGTGCTCGCCGCGTCGGCGGCTGCAGTGCCCTGTCTGACCGTCCCGGCGTGCCCTAAAACCGGACATGTCGAATACTCGAAATCAGTGCCGGATTTGACACCGTTTCCGAAGACTGCCGTTGATCTATGCTATACCGACACATCGGTCGAGCTTACCTTCACCGCATACGACGAGAAGTATTTCTACTTTGATCCGTCGCAGACCACCAACGACGACATCTGGGAATACGAGGTGATGGAGGCGTTTTTGTACCGCGGCACAAACGACCCGCAAACGTACCTTGAGCTCGAGGTCAACCCCAACAACGTCACCTACCAAGCCTTCGTGTACAATCCCTCCAAGGTCCGCACCGCGGGCGCTGCCTTTGACCACTTTTTCGTCTCAGATCCGGCCGCCGACGGCTTTTCCGCCGAGACAGAGCTTGACGTGCCAGGCGAGGTGTGGACTAGCAAGGTGACGGTGCCGCTGGGCATCTTCAATGTCGACAATGGCACGGCCAAGGGCACCGAATGGAGGATGAATTTCTTCCGCACGGTTACCAACGAGACGCTGTATCCGGACCAGCTGCTGGGCGCGTGGAGCCCGCCGAACCAGGCCAGCTTCCACATGACACCGTACTTTGGTCGTGTCACCTTCGTGTAGATAGCCTTAGCAGCAATAATAGCAGCGTTTAAGGCATCCTGCTCCTCTACTGTTCTTGTTAATCACCCAGTGACACTTAAGCATGCTCTTCACACTGGCAGCCCCGGAACAGCCTATACAGAACCTTTTGACTGGTCACATCAATCGACGTTGATGGGGTGTGCTCTTCTGGTGGGAAATATGATACGTAGATGTAGGTTATTACTATGCCAGAAGAACGTTGGGGACAGCGGTCACTTGTGCGAGGGAGGAGGCTTGATTGATTTAGGGGTCTCTGGCGACCGAGGCCGCCACTATGTCAATCCAAGAATCAGCCCAGGGCCCGCTAATGCAGGTCGTGACGGCAGGACGTACGTCGTGGATGCATTTATTCTTTAGATCTATGCAGGAGCGAAGCGACCTCCCATGTAACGTTCCGGCGAAGAGGCAAGCCGTTCAGCCACTCTACAGCCGTCACAAGTATCTTGAGATGCTTTCAATAGTGCGATGCATCTTTGAAGGTGGATTGTATTGACAATGGCATAGGTTTCAAACGGGACAGCAATCCTCCTTTCCACCAGGGGTACTTGAGACTCGAACTATATCCATGCTATGGCACGATAGTCACCTCATCAGTCGTGGGATTCTAGTTTTTTAATCACCATGCCGTCGCCGCCATAATAGGCGATGAGGAATGGCACGTTGAGCGACATGATGCTAAATAGTATCATTCGAACGGCCGAGGGAATTTTTCACCACCTTCGTTCCAACGCTTCAGAGTAACCAAACTGTCTCAAGTCTGTGAAAGACATTAGGTTAGACCCAGTCAGCTTGCGAATTGAATGACCGAGTGCGAAAGGCCATAACAAACATAAGAACTGAAAAGGATTACAACTAGGGAATTTCGTCACCAGTAGAATATGTACAATGTGATACTTGAAAGTCAGATGTGGGCGAGGAATCGCCGGAAGATAAAGGCAGAGCATATATCATTTCTTGAAATGTTAAAATAAATAAAAAACACCTTCTCCCATGTCCATGGCTGCCATAGCTTTCGGAAAGGTATGACATCCGAAGTCAAGATTCAATAGAGGATCTCTAGCAGCGAAAAAACACTAACTAAGCCTCGTCACAGCCGTAGTGGTCTAGACTGGTGGTGGAACAAGTGTATCCCGGCCAAGGTGCCCCAGGAGGTCCCTTGGCGGTCTGGTAACCGTGCCACGATGGCTTCTCGTTCCACTGGAACAAATCCCCTATGGCGGAACCGATCTTGATCAATTTTGCCTCACTGTACTGTTGTCCGTAGATACACAGTCCGTACGGAGTCGAGTAGCTATCCATACCGATCGGAACCGCAGCAATCGGATATCCAGCATACGAGGGAAGAGCAGCACATGCGTTGCTCCCACCACCTGTCCTGCCATTCGGAACAAGTAAGCCGTCGAGCTTCACAGCGGTCCCATTCTCTGTTACGTATTCGTGGGCCATGTCAATCGCCTGGCGAGCCCTGAAACGACTCCAGCCAAACGCAGTCCAGAATGCAGAGCCCATGGTCCCATTGGTCTTCACACCAGCGTCGTAGAATGTTTGGCCTGAAGTAGTATCCCACCACCAGGTGTTGTTCCCTAGCGCCCCTGTCGTGTCGTTGTGAGCAATGTTCCAAGCCGCCATCTCAGCAAGAGTGCTCATGCCGCGACGTTCGTCGCCTTCGGGAAACGTCCAGTTCTGGAGCCACTCGCCGTAACCAACGGCAAGAAGAGTGGCGAAGGCAATGGAGTGACTGAGCTCAGAAGGAGTGTCAGCCGGCTGGCCAGCGCCATACGGATTCGCAATACCGAGGAAAGGAGCGGTATCCTACATGGATCAAGTTAGTGCGTGGATCCAGGATTCAGGCGGCTCTTTATTGGTACGAACAGTAATGTTGTATATTTCAGCTCCTGCCATTTTGAGCTCGGCGACTGTTCTCTCATATACCTCACGGTTTCCAGGGGCGTTGATATGCTTGATGATGTTAGTCAACGAATCATACGTGTCGAATTGGGATAGGCTATTACCTGGATTGTAGACCAGTAAGGGTACCAGGGAAGGCCCAACTTCAAGCCGCGCAATGCATCTTTATCAACTACCTGCGCGGTATAACCATTCTCGGGGTACCGTGCCTCGGAGGTCAGATTGTCATATCCGTCATAGCCAGAGATAATATCTAATATCAAAGCAACATCTTTCATAGATCTGGCTAATGGACCAGGGGTGTCATGATAGAAGCTGCCAGTCACAATACCATGACGGGAACACAGCCCTGGAGTAGACTTAATAGTATAAAGACCTAGCTGGGCAGACGGATGAGTGAGTGACCTAGACATCAATTCAGCGCTTGTATCCGCACAGATTTGAGAGATATAAGAGGCGGTGCTGTCCAACATACCCATAAGTCTCAGTTCCTAGTGCTATGGGAGCCTGATTAACCCTGACAGCCACAACAGGGCCACTACTGCTTCCGGCTGTGGGCTGTGTGAAGTTGTAGGGATTCCTAGTTTGCCCGGTTCTGCTGGAATACCCGGTAGAGTACTTAGTCAGGGCACGGTGATCCGCAGCTTCATCCATAGTTGCGTGTCCAAGCAAGACGGCACCCGCAGCACGCATTTTGGCTACCGCAGTCGATTCCGAGGAGAACTTGCCACCAAGAAGCACCAGTGTGCCCTCACTAGTGTTGTGCCTGTCATCGGTATAGAAATTATCTTTGACAACGAAAGGAATGCCATGCAGCGCAGAACGCATGCCGGTTGTGGCCCGTTCCTCGTCCATCGCCGTCGCGATAGAAAGAGCATCCGGATTCACCTCACTGATAGAATGAGTATAACTGCAATGTGACTGGTCAGTCAAAATCTAGGTCCAGTCGAGCAAAGGTTTCTTGCTTGTTCATTTGTTGAATCCTGGCCAAGTAGCATTCTACTAGATTATGACTAGTCAGGTTACCGAGAATTATCCATCGTTGAAGCTCGTCCACTGTAGCATCTTCAATCTTGATACCCTTGCAAAGGGGCTCTGAGACGTTAGCAAGGTTATGCCATTTTATCGGAGTCTGGCATCACCCACGGGGAAACGGGTTGCATGACGCCGCAGAACTACTTGCGGTGAGCAACGTCAGGCCTGTGATGGCTATTGACACTGGGCGCATGATGAACATGTTGATCTCGACCGCTGCGAAATGATGAGCAAACTACTCAACGCATGGGCTTTACGGGGTCTCTTTATATAATCTGTTTACCAAAGCCAGCACTTTATTCTCATTAATGTGTCATACATCACTTATCTGCGGACTTTACCAGCTACTGCACTGTAAGGCCAATTCTAAAAGATATGTTTGATAGCGGCGAGTCAGTTATTTACATCATAGTTCTTGAGGACGACGTGCTAGCTAAGAGCTATTGAGTCTAGAATACTTCTAGATGAGATGATCGGGATAGTAAGGAAATGGCTCAGATTTGGGAGTCTCGATTTCATGGTTCGATCACCTCTGAAGTGCCGCTTCGTCCAGTGCAGTCAGTAACTTGATTGGCTGGTTCTGCCTCTTGTCGCCGAAATCGCGATTATACCCGCTTGGCAATCGCTCGTTCGCCGATACCGATCTCTTTGCCAAGATTCACACATAGAGAACTACAATCTCCCAATATTACAAATGTGAATTACATTAGCGAGAAGTATGGCGATCCTTAGGTGGGAAATATACAACGGCTCTGTTAATTGAATCTCTCCTTGTACTGTTGTCGAGCATAGTGCTGGTAACGCGAAGCAGTGCGCCAGCGAAAGGCCTTTCCGTATCGAATGAAAATACCAAAACACAACAGAATGACGCACGCAATGACCAGTATTGTTACCAAAACATATTTGATCCCAACTGCTGCAATCCATGGCGTGAGAGCAAAGATAAAGCCCGTACTAAAGCTATTCCGCACAACCGTCACACCAACAAGTGCATCTCCAATGATCTGATCGTGGTTAGCAATGTACTCCTACCAAGCAGATAGTTTTACTCACATCTCTGTATGAATCGGTCAAGTAGGTTATGATAATACTGTTGATGGGAGTAACACCGATGTTGTATAGTACAAGCCCAACAGCAATGATAGGCCAAGGAAGATGATTGTTTAAGCCAAGAGCAAAGAGCAATGCACCGACAGGCACAAATGGGAGGAATGGAACAATGCACCATAGTCTTGTCTCAGGATCATAGATGCCCTGGCGGCGACGGGCAAGATAGACGATCCACCAGTCACTCAAAGGCCCAACAATCAGCGCGCCGATCGTGACGCCAATCATTCTTGGAAGGCTCATGAGACCGATTTGATCGGATGTAAAATTGTAGGGTGCCTGGGGTAGAAAGGTGGACATGGTAGTCGACATGACATCTCCCAATCCAACCAAGATTCCGTACACGAGCGCTGCATAGGCGATGGCTGGTATCGTCACTAGGAGAACAAGAGGTTGATAGATGTGGAGAACGAAGGACTCGCTTGTTCCGTTCGAGTATGTGGTAGTTGTAATTGCAAGCTTTTCCCGGTAGGTTTTTCTTGGGATGTTGGGATTTATAGTGATAGCTGTTGCGTTCAATGTGGGCTCATGCGGAACCGCTTTGGCCTCTGAGTCGAGTAGATCATGACCTGGATTTGACGGCACCTTCTTAAGGTTGTTTGGCTCAGCAGACTTGGAGAATTCTGGCTCTAGAGTATCCAAATGATGATCGTCTTGTCCACTCGGTGAGGATTCTGGGAGAATAGCACGGGTTGTTGGTGGGCAGTATTTTGTCTCTTCGTACCCAAAGCCGACAACAAAGATGGCAACCCCAAATATGATCACATTCCACCACCAAACCCAGCGCCATCCCTGGCCTTTAGCAACAAAACCAGCGACGAAGCTCCCAAGATAACTAGACAGAAGCCATACCCATACGTAGATCGCATTCATTCGCCCGCGTTGATGAACGAAAAAGACATCCGCAATAGTCATCTGGACTATCACCTCTGCCAGACTTCCGAAGAGGCATTGTAGAACGTTAATCAGCATAAGGTCTGCCACCGTCTGCATCTTAGCAGACCAGATACTAAGGCCAAATTGGAGAACAGTGCTGAATAGATATAAGGGTCGGCGACCAAATTTCAGGGCGAAGGGAATCAGGAGAAGAGATCCAATGGCCAAAGCAGCACAGCCAGCAGCATAGCTGTCATTCAAAACCTCGTAACTGTACCCAAGCTCTTTGTGCATTGGACCCCAGGTCGGAGTTGCGGCATTAATAAACTCGGCGACCATTGCAACGTAGAAACAAACAAGTCCGATGTTTAAGTATTTGCGTCGTAGCGACCAATTCAGGGGATCGTTCGGATCATCAGTCGGTTGGGGTTGTAGGACCAGGTGTTCTCCTGCAGAGGCATTAGTGTCCTGAAGGACCACCGTACCGGGAGGCCACATGGTGGTGCTGTCAGCGGCAGACGAAGACATGATTGAATTTGGAAGAGATGGCAAAGCTGTGAGAATGAAGTTGATCTATCATAACGAGACATATAGTTTCATGATCGTGGTGGTTTATAACTTCCAAGGTGTTCGAGCATGACCGAGGACTGGTAAGAATCGTCCAATTTCATTGGCGCAAGCTTCCATTCTAGGTTGACGGAAATATATGGATGGCCAATAGAAGCCACGTTCTCAGCTCACCCCCCTAGAAAGCTTATCAGTGTAGATACCGTTTTGACTAAGCCTCCCCCTTCTTGAGTCTCAATCCCGTTAGCATGTAGCTCCACAGGGAGCACTAATCGGCTCGTTCCACCAATTGCAAGGTGAGCTTCCCTTCGGCAATCTGTATCTGTTGACGTAAAATGACCGGGCGGACCTACAATACAGTACTGCATAGTGAATCTTCGACTTTAGTGGGCCTTGGTCCTGACTTTATAAACAGGGAGTCGGCGTGACATTTCTTCAAGCTGCTGGTATGACACTCAATTTGGCGATGGGGACAACAAGTCTTAAAAGAAATAAAAAGCCAATATGACAACGCCTAACTTTAGTTTCCCGAGGCAGGGTGATGCTTCCCGATCATGCTGGCTTCAGGGCGTCCATGATGATCCTCTGCTCAATCATGCTACAGCCCCTGGACTGCCGTCATCTGCAGATATCGTGGTAGTCGGATCTGGTGTGAGTCATTCTTCCCTCCGCATATGCTAATTGAATAGCCAACTGAGAAAGCTAACAGATGACTGGAACCTTGGTTGCAAAACACTGCATTGATACATGGCCCGATAAGAAGGTCATTGTCCTCGAGGCTCGAGAATTCTGTTCAGGGGCAACAGGTCGCAATGCCGGTCATTGTAAGCCTGATCAATGGCGCGGATTTGTTGACTATGAGAAAGCCTTTGGCACACAGCAAGCTCTTGAGGTCAGTATAGGACCACCCATAACATGGGCTCCTTGCCAATTCTCTCGTTAAACAGATACTCAATAACGAATGGGAAACATGGTCTGAAACAGTAGCCTACGTGAAAGACAACAACGTAGAGTGTGACCTTTGGGTGGGCGATACATTAGACGTTCCAGTGACCCCAGAGGCTGCAGCAGAGGCGAAAGATATATTTGATCGCTTTAAGATGGCTGGTGGTAACGTCCATCATATCAAAGTTACCCACGATCCCAAGCAAGCAGCAGAAGTAGTTAGCCATTACCAAGCCTTTCAGGCCACCGCTGACTTCTACAGATATCACGTATAAAAGATGCCCAAGCATGTTATGCTTGGCCTGCATCAACGTTATATCCTTGGAAGCTTGCAGCATATGTCATGCGCGACAATATAAAGAACGGTGTAGAACTTTATACACATACTACCGTTAACAGAGTCATCCAATGCCCACAAAGACTAGGCAGATGGATTGTTCAGAGCAATCGAGGGGATATTGGATGTAGTCAGGTGGTACATGCGACCAATGCCTATTCCCCAGCTCTAGAGCCATCTATCAGAGGACTTATCAGGCCTTCACCCCATATGTGTAATGAGGTCAAGCCACCTCTTGCTTTTATGGGTTCTAAAGCCCTTAAGAACTCGTATGGTGTTCTGTTACCCAAGGGAGGACTTATTACCATCAACCCGCGAATCCCCGTGCAAAGCTCTGTTCTTTTTGGTGGGAGCAACCCTGGGCAACACGACTTTGAAAGATGGTTACACAACCACCCAGACCGATGTGCCGATGACGGACTTTCTGGGTTTCCAACCGTAACCGAAGCCGTCCAGAGATTCGCTGAATCCCAATTTGTAGACTGGCCGGTTGCCAAAAGCCCAGCGGAGTTCAATAAGCACAGCTGGAGCGGAATCATTGGATTAGTAAGTTCTATATCCACGGACCCTTCGATTTAATAACATCACATCAGAGTGCCGACGGGGTGCCGTTTATTGGAGAATTGCCCGGACTACCTGGTCAATGGATCTGTGCAGGTCACCACGGACAGTAAGTCTCAATATGATTTGATAGCATCAAAATATGTGACGGGGGCTGACCGTAAAATGTAGTGGAATGGCTCGTATTTTTACTGCCGCTCCTGGCCTAGTCCGGCTTATGGGGGGGAGCTCGTGGGCAGAGACAAAGCTCCCAGATGTATACCAGATCACACGATCTAGGATGGAAGGGTTGAAAAAGGAGTTGGAGGCGAACGAAAGGGTTTATTTTCGACTTTGAAGGGTGCTTAGAATTCACTCAAGCTTTCCATCAGAATTTCATATACTTATTTCGAGCCGGAGTTCAAAAATGTATCTTAACTTTATCCTACATTAATCCCACCAGTAGACTAGTACGTGAGGACTCGCCATCTTCAGCCCATAATACGGTACCTGATAGGGCCAATTCCGTCCAAACAAGAAGAAAACCAATAACACCTTGGAAATAATTGCCAGAATTTCAATAGCGTTACCCTACCTTACAGGAAGATCATGAGCCTAAGTAGTTACTAATGCATCACCTACAGCTCCAGCAGTAGTGCTAAGCCTAAGCCCCCCTGATAACTAGCCATCTGGTCACCAGGTAGCAGGCAGACAGAACCTTGGAGTGTGTGGATAGGCAAATGCACTTATCCAGGCATTAATGTAAAAGGTGAGGATAAATTATACATACACGCCCTGGAACACTGGAGTGAATCAGGAAAATTGATTTGGTGGGGGATCAAGCCTTATCGCCTGTCTTACATACACGTAGATGTTCCTAACTATATTTATCAGAGATAAGAGAGCACTGGCCACGTACCAAATTGGAACTAAGGGGCTAAGCAACTCGAGTTCCTTCCACATTATTTCCCCCCGGCTCCAATGCATGTCCGTTCTTCTACCACTGAAGGAGCTACAAGTCATTCGTCACTGAGTCTTGATTTCAGAGACTCATGGATCCACCAACTCGTAATGGCACTCATCAAAATGGCAGAAATCCAGAGGATCGCCCAAGCAGGAGCAATCAACGGGTGCGTTCTGCAAACAGGGCATTGATGGCGTGTGTAAACTGCAAAGAAAGAAAGCTGAAGGTAAGGGGCTGCAGAGCTGGATAATGAGAGACAAAGTCCGATGCGGCCTGCTTACTCCATGCTCTAGTGCGATAATAAACCCTCGGCATGTGAGAACTGTCGCCGTTCGGATTTAAGTTGGTTCATTTTTCTAAATGCAGGCTCCTTTTCTAGGCCATTTTGCTGGCCAGTCGATAATAACTCGCTTCTCGCTGACTATAGATGATGGATACTAGTCTGCCTTGTGGAAGATCCAACCACGAAGAGACATAGGCCTCGGAATTACCTCGAGACATTGGAGCAACGCGTTGCACTTCTCGAGAGTCTGCTGAGACGACATCGTCCGGATCTAGCCAATGACCATCTTATCCGCTCTGATCATCTTCAACAGGAGTATCAGTCGGGTCCGGTAGCCCCGGCATATTCTCCCGACCATCCGCACCGTGCTCAGTCGAGTATTTCAATGGAACATGAGATCGGCAATGGAGATAAAGAAGAAGATGGCATCGATGAATTAGCCTCCAAAGCTGGTCTCCTGAGCCTAAACGCAGCTGGAGCAGACCCCTACTATCTTGGTTCATCTTCGACCTTTGCCTTCTCGAGACTGATCAATTCATCACTGCGTCGAGTAGTTCCGGAGGATCACAAAACATCCAAGGCATTCGTTCAGCCTGAGAACGAGCATGATTTTCTACCAGCCCCATGCTTGCTACCTGACTATGCAATCGCCGTGAAATTGAGCGATGCCTATTTCCAGAATATCCATACTCAATACCCCTTTCTACACGAGCCAACCTTCCGATTTTGGGAGTCGGCGTTGTTAAGCGGATTGACGGGTATCGAGCCCATTCTCTCAAACCCCGTTGCGTTATTTTTCTTGAACATGGTAGGTCACAAACGGCATCTTATGGTTCAAAATGTTGACAGTCTTAGGTGTATGCAATTGGTGCTCTGATACTACCGAACTCTGGATGCTCCGCTGAGGTAGGTGTAGACCTACATAAAATCTCCACAGCTAAATCTGGTCTCAGAGACTGTATGTTTCGGCCCAGATGTATATCGATCATATCCTCCTACACGATAATTTAGAAGCTATACAAGCCATTCTATGCTGCGCTGCATACTCTCTAAGATCCTCAATAGGCACATCATATTGGTATGTGTCTCGATGGCGGAGACTTGATCTATTTCTTACTCTCGGTAGGAAGCTTGCGGGCCTCGCTTTACGACAATGTATCGATCTTGGATACCATCGCAGTTCAAAACGATTAAAATCGACTGCGAATCCCCTGCGATTGGAGATGCGCAATAGGATATTTTGGTGTGCCTATGCAATGGAGTCTCAAGCAGCCATGATGCTTGGGCGGCCTCAAGGAATACCGTACCAGGAGGTCGATGCCGAGGTAGAATGCTACTGAATGACCTAGACTTGTGGGCATTTTCGCTGATTGTGTAACAGTATCCTATGGATATAAATGAATCCTGCCTTGCCGATACTGGCATCCACGGCACGCCACGAAGCTCCTCAAATGACCCACCAACAAACATCACACAAGCAATCCATACCTTCCAAATCCGGAGAATCTTAAGTCGAATACACAGTTCGCTCTACTCAAAGACTGCCTGCTGTTGCTCTGCTCCGCACGCTCATGAAGATCAGACGCATTATTTTCGTGCCGAGATCGAGAACTGGCGTGCCAGGATCCCATCAGCAACACCATGTGTCAGTCCGGCCCTTTCACTGTTTTCAACTTCAGATTGGTTTGATCTTGAGTACAACTACGCTATCTTGCAGCTCTACCGAGTTCAGATAGTTCACCGCCGAGCTGCAGCCACAGGAACTGTATTTCTTGACTGCCTAAGAGCTGCAGAGGGCATTTGCCACGGTTACCGGCGCCAATATCTGGGGAAACCAACAAGTTATACATGGACAGCAGTGCATGAGCTGTTTCTGGCTGGTTTAACATATCTTCACTGTTTATGGACATCACCAGCTGCACGCGAGGCACGTGGACAAGCGGAGGTAAACAGCACCTGCACGGACTGCACAATTGTACTAGTCCTAATGGCAGAGCGTTGGATTGCGGTAGCACCATACCGCGATATCTTCGAGACATTAGCTAATCGGACAATAAGAATGATGGAAGATAAGAATGGTTTCGAGTCTGCGCCGACAGATACGCCAGTATTGGGGGTCGTTGACGAGGGAGGCTTAACGGAATGGGTTACAGAAATCGCTAACGCTGGCATACCTGAAGGTTTTGATATAATTATCCCAGGGTTAGTTGAAGATTTTGTTTCTTAGCTCCATCTGTTTCATTGTAGATTAAAATCTATCTTACTACATGTTAATTTGGTGGCACCGTAATAGTAGGTGGGCGATGAAGGTCCACTACACCCTGACTTGTCGTCTAGATTAGTCTTCTTACTGTTTTACTCAGTCTAACCATAGTGATATAGGGAGGTAAAACCTCTAATTTATTGTTGTTCGCTTCTCGAAGCAAAGTGACGTCTCGAAGCCACTCACCCAAATTTCGGGAACCTTTCAGCCTCAATGCCACGTCCCAGAGAGATAGAGCTGTCGAAGATTCCTCCGTCTTGGGTCTCACCAAAGTGGAGAGCTCGACGAACCCCAACTTCCAGATTGAGTGTTTCGGTACGATGTGCGGACCAGTTGGGGAAACATGACCACAAATTTCCCTCGAATCACTGATCAAAGCATTGTTTTCTCACTAGCAGGGGTTGGCCACGCGAATTCCGGTGGTCTATCATATGTCACAACCCCACACCATTGCCTTGTTCATCTCCTTCCTAAATCCTCAGTACCGAGGGCTAACTGCAAAATCCTTGGTCGTTCGGTACTTTAAAAGCCCAAGCCTTGTACAATCCCAGCACGCCTGACTTCGAGGGATCACTCCATTGTGTAGGTGAAACGAATGAACCTGGTAACATTATTGTGCCACCAATCCAGACTTCCTCCGTTGGTCTTGGCTTCCGTTATCTGTCGATCTTTAGGAAAGAATAAAAAAATGCAAGAGGATGAATCCAACCCCAACAGATGGCTTCGAATACGCCTGCAGGAGTGTTCAGGAGAATTCCTATATTAATCGCACATAGAATGCTTCGAATTCGAGTTGAGGTGCTCTTGTGGTCCATTGCAAAGCAAGGCCACAGTTTCTTCACTCCAGTCGCACTCTAGAGTTCACGTTTGAAATCATGAAGCACTTTAGTCTACTTGGTTTACTCGCTCTTGGCGCCGGTGTCCATGCCGTGACCACAACTCTTCCCGCCTCAGCGGGCGTGTCAAGTGCGCCAACGGCGATACCTGTCAAGACATCATTCGACGGAGGAATGAAGCGATTTGAGCGCAGCAGTACGTACATTTCAGGATCGAAATGCAATATTATAACTCATACGGGATATCGTAGCCAATGTCTGTCAGGGCCAAACGGAAACTGGGGAAGCTGATGCGATGTTTATTCTGGAAAGTGGCGCTACACTGTCCAATGTTATCATTGGTGCAACCCAGGCTGAAGGCATACACTGCAAGGGAACTTGGTAAGTTGCCCGGGTTTGTAAGCAAACAGGCTTTTTCAGAGGTTGGTATTAACTAAGCACAGCACACTGAATAATGTCTGGTGGGCGGGTAAGCAACTTCTGGAGTTCATTTTCAACTCTTTTAGCCACGTTTCGAGAAATGGAGATAAAACACGGTCCCAAGCTAGACAGTTACTCACGAGACATCTTCTACTCAAAGTTTCCCTACACTTTCACTATCCGTAGAAGGCAATTGCTGACTCAAGATATGAAGACGTGTGCGAGGACGCGGCGACGTTCAAGCAGACCAGTGGCACATCCTACGTCAATGGCGGAGGTGCCTTCCATGCCGATGACAAGATCTTCCAATTCAACGGAAGGGGAACCGTTGTCATCAAGGGATTCTACGCTAATGATTATGGCAAACTGGTCCGCAGTTGCGGAAACTGCAGTGGCAACGGTGGCCCCCGGAATATCGTAATTCAAGACTCGGTAGCCGTAGATGGTGGCGTTCTATGTGGTATCAACACCAACTACGGCGATACGTGCAAGATTACCAACTCCTGCCAGGACGACGGGAAGAGTTGTGACCGGTACACGGGCAACTCTAGTGGGGCTGAGCCCACAAAGATCGGTTCCGGACCCGATGGCACGTATTGTACTACCTCTGGCTTCACCACAAGCTGCTGAACGCAGCTTCCAATTTGATGTTTGATGAGACAGACCTCTTTCGATGTTGAAGAGATGTATTGAGTCTCAAGCACATGTCGCCAGAATTGAATAGCTTAGGCAGAGTGGGAAAAAATCGAGTTTGGTAGAAACGAGCAACTTGAGATGTACATGCTACGTTTTCGATATCTCTGACCTCACTGTGAGCGAGTTGTCGTGCTAGCAATCACTCATCACCTTTTCCAAAATTTGTTATCAATCGTTCTAAAGACAGCATATAGAAGGGCGCTCAAAATGAAAGCCACCTCGAAACCAATGTCCCCGGTATGTTTGGCAATTGGGCCAACCCACCAAACCTGTTCCATACTAGAGAATCATGAGTTAGTCGTATCTTCAAAAGCGAATTAAGATGAAGGTCGCTTACCAAGGAATCACGAGACCAAAACATAAGACAGCAGCTCCAATGGCCGCGATACCAGTCGGAAGGAGTTTTGCATCATTCCAAGCATCGTGGTCATATCGAACTGGGTCTCCTTTCTTGAACACAACATGCTCCGTAACCACAATTCCCACAAAGGACGCTGTCCAGTATCCAATAATGGACACAAAATTTTCGAGGTTCACAAAAAAGTCGACAGCCGCTCGGATGCTGACAGGAATGATGATGGCTGTGACGATAATGCTAAAGACATATCGCGGTACGCGAACCAGCCATGGTAGGAGAATCTGGAAATTCAACGTCACGCTGTACATGGTTCCGGAAATATTGCCCAGAAGTGAGAAGGCCAGAACAACCACAACGAATTGCCCAAAACGGCCCACTGGTTCGAGCATCAAAGCAAGAACACCTCCTGCTCCCATGGCATCAGAGGCATCTTGCCAACCCTCTATACTCGGAATGGCACCACCTATCGCTGCACCAAGTGTCATTAGTAGGACTGTAGGAATGACAAGGCCGAGATAACTGTAAGTGAAGATACGCCACGACGAGGCCTGAGGGCTGAAGTATGTCGTGAAGTCGGATGCAAGACACGCCCAAGGAATGGTGTATGAGGCAATGATCATTCCAAAGGACAGCACGGCTGGTGCGGTGGCAGGTTCAGTCGGAGCCTGGTTCTTGAGATTCGAGCCTCCAACACCGGTGGCGATCGTGATCATCAGAATTGCTGGAGCCCATGCAACCATCTCATACCAATGAAGCACTCGAAATCCGCAAAACGATATGACGAGTGCCAAGATAGCAATAATGACAATTCCGACGTTGTTGCTAATCGTCCCTTGAGATGCAGCGGAAAGACACTGGCCACCAACGACACATATAATGACACTAAAACCAACTAGATTTGCGAGGTTCAGGACGACTGGAATTGAGCCGAGGTAGCGACTATTGAATGTTTAGCAGTATGATTATATTCGGAAGACACTGATGCTTACCCGAAACTAAAGCGAGCTTGGATCATCTGTCTCAATCCTGTCTTAGGACCCAATGTGCTCAAAAATGCCGGCGCTGGAGCAGACAGGAGCGTGAAAAACAGAATAACAAGAGCCGAGTCTCGAAGGCTGAGCCCATAGGTTGGGCCGATCATTCCAAAGGTAATTCTTTTGAAGTATTAGCTTGTTACCGTAACAGTAGTACCAGTAAGAAGCCTTACGCGAGAATGTTGACATTCATGGAAAACCAAATGGAAAAGACTTTCCAGTATTTCGTCGCAGTTCGGTCCTTTTCCGGCACAGGGACCACGCCGCGCTCTTCAACACGTCCATAACTCAGAAGCCGGTGGATAATGGCGTGCTGGCGTGGGACTTTGCGTTCTCCTGCTTCCTCATCGGACAACCCAGGGGCTGGGTTTTGGCGAGCGTCAATGCTCTCAGTCCCACTTGCAGGCAATGCATCATGCGCCTGGCTCTTTTCAATGTCTGTAGCCATTTATTGATGCCTATATTGGGATGATTCCTCTGAAATGAGGTTTCTTGAATATAAGAGAAAGCGATATCTGATCGGTCGCAGCAGATTACAGCTAGTGCAGTGGTTTGATGACTCCTGAAGCGCCACACTTAAAAGTGCTTGCCGAAAGATATGTGAATATGTTTTATTCAATAGGGCATCGACGTGGTCATTTTGCTGAGAAAGACTGTCGTCAAAGCCTTCACCTTTGCTCATGGGCTGTTGAAAGAAGAGTGATGACCATTACTGTGATTTACTCTGGCTCATGATCCAGCGATAACCGGCCGGTTGCTGACATTTTTTTTCGTCTTGGAAGCTTTAGTGTACTACGCTCTAAGCCGATTCTGGAGGAGCCCCAGTGAAGTGCCACCAATGGGTACGCCCTTCCAATCCTCTGGCGTGTTTTCTAGCGTGTAACCACCGCCGATATAGACTTGATGTGAGTAGCACGCTTTGTGTCGGGAAGACGCGGAGACTTGGCACTTAACATGCGTTCAATCTGGACAGAGTATTCACTATGGGCGGGTCTTTAGGTACTGAAAATGCCTGTTGAAACTAGGAGGAGAGGTATACCCTTGCCTCGCGGCTCACTGCTTTGATGCTGTAAATCCAATAATCTTGGGTATACTATGGATACATTCCCTACTCAATATTCCTCGTCTTGCTCCCAAGCTGCATGCAGGTCCAATATCAAAATGACAGGTGTACCAGTCATGGAGAATCCACGGAGCTGGTAAAGCACACCACAGAGTAGGCACCAACACTTGACGACTTCATAGGCCACAGTCTCTGCGCACGATCACCACTTTGCCTTCTGCCGTTCTTCTCTTCAGACGACAGTTCCTGGTTGAAAGCTCTCGTATCAATAGGCCTAAACACTGTTTCGGTCTAAACCATCATTTAACTTCTTGCAAGCAAGACCGCGGACCCCGCCGCACACCTCCCAATGCATTCTTCTGCCGAGAGGGGCAATGCGGTCATGATTGGCTGCTCTAGTACGCCCGCTGACGTTGACACATCAAAGTCTCGCTGAGCCATCAGTATAAAAGCAAGAATGCCAAATGGTATGGCCTGCAAACCTCAGGGTAGCTTGACAATTTCTTCGACGGAAGCCGTCGCCATGACTTCTCAGTATGATACCATTGGTTCCAAATACAATATCTTCAAGGCCCTCCCTGCAGCCACCGTCGAGGTGGAAAACATGAAAAGCGCTGTCCAACCTTTATTAGCCGTCAAGGACAAGCCCCGGGTTCTGGATCTTGCTTGCGGCGCGGGATATTATTCGCAAAAGTTTCTCGAATGGGGCGCCGACTATGTTTTTGGAATCGACCTATCCCCGGCCATGATTTCTGCAGCCAACGAAAACCTCTTGGGCTCTGAGAAACCAGGGTCGCTCAGATTTGCCATAGGCGATGCCAAGTCCCTAGGGAGGATTGAGGCTGAGGAGCCGTTTGACATGGTCACTGGAGCATGGTGTTTGAACTACGCGAGCAATCTGGAAGACATGACAGACATGTTTCGAACAATCTCGTCCAATCTTAAAGATGGTGGAGTGTTCGTTGGCCTCACACCCCATCCAGCTGATGATCTCGACGCATTTGCGCACATGACGAATGATTTTGAGAAAGAGCAACCTCATCGATGGGGGGTTACTGTAGATTACTATGAAAAGTTGGAGTCTGGTGACGGATGGAAAACGGAGGTCACTGGCCATGGCACCCAGAAGATTTCGTTCCGAAACTACCATCTAAGGAAGGACATCTACGAAGAAGGGGCAAGGCTGGGAGGAATGAATGGTAAGGTACAGTGGAAGCGAATCGAGCTACCCTCGCAAGCTATAGAGAGATGGGGAGAGGAATACTGGGACCTGTTCTTCATAAAGGGCCCACACATGGGCATAATGGTTGTAGAGAAATGATGTAGGCATGGTCTTCTCGTGTCGCTCTATGTCTGTAGCATGCAAATGAAGTGCATTTGCATTTGTGGTCCGTTTTAATGTGCACACCGTCGACTGATCACAGTGCGAAGGCCACGAGCCGAAAAAGCTACGACTTGACCAAACCCCAGGAACATAGTTAGTACGGTATCATGAATGTAGGAACAATCTGTCTCATATCAATCAAGTATTGCAGCTGTAGGTTCAAGGAGTTGTGAGGTTAGGTACCACCTTGCCGATTATCAATTCGGCGACTAGATTCGCCGGTGGTATTCCCGATATCGGTTAGTAATACCCAATGGGTCTTTTGACGTCACGCATTAACCCTGCCGCAATCTCATTCATAATTCACCCTCACCACTCCTAGGTATAAAAATAGAGTGTATCGCATAGGTGCACATCCGGTATAATTCCACAGGAGCATTTGACAATAATCGTGACCTGAATACTTCTTATTCTAGTTCAAGTACGACCTACAAATCATCTCTCACGATGAAGTCGCACACTTTTACTCTCGCGAGCACAATGAAGGCAGGTAAACTCACATACATGCAAAGTCACCTCATTTATACTGACCATCTCCAAGCTTGCAACCGGTCAGACGATGCCGCAAATACAGCTGGGTCTCTACATGATGTCAGGAAAGGAAGCTACTCACGCAGTCCGGTGGGCCCTGGCTGCGGGATATCGCGGCTTTGATTGTGCGCAGATGTACCATAATGAGCGCGAGGCTGGCAAAGCCATTCGAGATTTTCTGGCCAGTGACGAAAATACCGAGGGCTTAACGCGCGAGGATATTCATTACACCACGAAGCTGGCCTCCAGCAGCACCAACTATCAGGCAGTTCGCAATTCTATCAAAAGGTCCGTCGATGAGTGCGGCCTGGGCTATGTAGACCTCTTCCTCCTACATAGTCCGTACGGGGGCAAGCAAGCAAGGTTGGCTAGCTGGAAGGCTTTGGAAGATGCTGTGGAAGCAGGTGAAGTAAAAATGGCTGGTGTTAGTAATTATGGTGTCAAACATGTAAGTCCGTGAGCCTAGAAAGACCCAGCATATAAAGACTGACACAAGCCTATAGATCAAAGAACTCATGGCATCGAACCCTAAGGTCCATCCTGTCGTCAACCAAATTGAAGTGCATCCATTCAACACTCAGACAGAAATCAGGAAGATCTGCGCAAAACACAACATCGTGATTGAAGCATATGCACCGCTAGCCCGAGCTATGCGCATGAACCATCCGAAGATTGTTGAACTTTCCAGGGCGTATGACTGTACACCAGCACAACTCTTAGTTAGGTGAGCGAGCATTGCTCCAAGTTGGGAGCGCTCAGAACTAATTAACGATAGATGGTCTCTGCAACACAACTTCATTACCTTGCCCAAGAGTGCAAAGAAGGCACGGCTGATTGAGAACGTGGATGTCAATAACTTTGAGATTTCAAAAGAAGATATGGAATCCATGAACGAGCTTGATGAAGGGCTGGTGACAGATTGGTAAGTTGCCGCCTTATTTCCATGAAAAATAACCTGTGCGAAACGGCTAACCGGTACTTAAGGGATCCCACAGATGCTCCGTAGAATTCGCATGGCTTCAGAAACTCTCGAACCATAATGCTACAAAATTTACTTGAGAGGTTTAGTGTAGATAATCTTAAAAGCGTCATCCAAAGACGCTGTCTATCCCATGACGCGAAACCTACTTTTGCATTGTAGCAAACCCCTGTAGTAGTCAGTTAGGCACTAATGATTGCCCAACAGCCAGCCCCTACAAGCTTTTATGGTCCACCTGCTGAGCGTTTCTTGACTGCCAAGGCCAGAGCCTACCGAAGGATCGCAGCGAGACAGTGACTAGCTCGGCGCCCGCAGAGGTCAATTCGGAAAAGTGTTATCACAATCAAATAAATGGCGTTCCGATCCCTGACAGAAGCCGTGGTCCAATCGCTTACAGCGGTCTAGCCTGACAGGCGCATCGTGAATGGCGTGTGTGCAACACGACCACGCCTATCACGGGCAGGTGGCTTGGCAGCTGAAAAAGAAGAACAGAGGTCTGGCCATGGAGCCTTGTCAAATGAAGGCAGCACAAATACTAGGATTCCCGCTCCTGCAGGGTGTAGCCAAGTTCTTGGTCGTCCTTCCTTTTCAAGTGTGAGGTGAAGCAAGGAATGCGGCTCAACTCGATGCCAACATCTTGCACCATGACTCGATTCGAGATCTTGCTTCTAGTCTCAAGCCTTGCTGGCTCAGGTCATTGCTTGCAAGGACGGTTTCATGCGCCATGGAGACCGTCGGTAGAAACTTCGCGCGCAGAGCTAAATCAAAAGGCTGTGGATGGCGTCTCTCCTGTCCCAACTACCGCACCACGGCCGTACTTCGCGGCCATACCTGAGTTGCGGCGGGATGTGGTGTCAAGTAACACATGCGGCTTTAGAACGGATGTCTCGTGTAAACTGCGTGGAGTTTTCCAGCAGACTGGCTATACTCTGGCATTACTGAATGGCACTAATGCTTCCCAAGGTTCACCAATGTACTGTGATGATGCCTATACCTGTACAAACTCAGGTAGCATTCGGGACTGTTGTAGTGGGAATGGATGCTTCACCTCGACTTTCGCAACTGCATGCCTTGATGCAACAGCAGAAGCATGCTCCACGTCAGGTGGTCACCCAGGACAGTACTGCTGGTATGTTGGTGACAATTGATGGTGCCTACTCGAGACTAACTCTTTACTTAAAGCACATACGATGCCATGTACCCGTACTGTGTTACTTATCTATGGGCGACGACGGCGACTCCAAACTCAATATTCACATTCTTCATGTGTGACGAATCTATTGCTGCAGGAGCTCAGCAGTTCATGTCTCCAACCAATCCGTTTGCCCAAACAACAACTAGTACTTCTACTACAAGCACACGATCTAGCACCAGTCACATAACCACGACATTGAACCCGTCAAGCCTGATCAGCTCCGATTCCAGTTTGTCGACGACAGCACCATTGACGTCAACCCTAACTGTGGTACCTACTCCTAGTAATTCCTCTAGCGGCGGTGGCTCTAGCACGCCTGTCGGCGCCATTGTAGGAGGTACCATTGGCGGTGTAGCATTAATTGGTCTAGTTGCACTTGGTGCATTCCTCATCATACGAAGAACCAGGAACAAGAACCAGAATCAGATCCCGCCTCAAGGCGGCGTTGCCCCCATGCCGTTAGCAGAGCCGAAATATGGTCCGGATCCGCACAGTCCCTTACCACCATCGTACAATCCGCACTATAGTATGGCGTCTGCGAGCCCGTCTGGGTTCGATGGCCCAGCCCCTTACGACCCTCGATTTGGTCATCCGGGGTCTCCAAATAATGTTTATTCTCCTGTAAGTACCCGGCCACTCGTTCGATGTCATTCCTTTATCGTGTGGGCTAACCATTATGTAGCAGCCGCACCAGCAGCAGTGGTATGACCAACCTAGCGGTGCATATCACGGAAAGTGAAGTGATGATATCGAGAGCGAACTGTTGACACTAATTATTTACTTGGATGATACGAACGACAAGGTGTTGCGTAAGGGTTGGCTTTTGAGAATAAGAAGTTGGAACTCAACAGGTCTAATGGGACAAGGAACGTCATTACTCCATCCGTTGCGCTAGCAACAAGGTAGCTTCTAACGCAAATGAGAGAGCGATATTTCTTTCATCAATGAATCGACATGTTAAATGATCAGTTGATCGCGATGAATCGTATTAATTCGTATGTCGTATTCGAGGCGTATCTGTCGGCAACGTCAAGTGAAGCAATCAACTATAGCCAGTTTGGATCAGGTGATGAACCGAGGGGCGAATCTAGCCTTGTGTGTATTAACCGCTTTGCTGCCAACCCTGAAATTTATATAAGTCGGCTGACCAGCACCTCTCCTGCAACCTCGGTCCAGATTTGGAATGGAAAATAACCCCAAGTCTACTCATATGTCCATCCAAGATCAATAACTGATATTTGCAGCGTCAGCAGCAATGAAAGACCACAAAGCGACCGATTTCCCTCTCAACGAGGCAATTCGCCTCCAACCCACACAAACGCTTTACATACACAATGAAGGCATGACTGGCTTTTCTAAGTCGATGGCAATCTTTGATATCACATCAAACATGCCCCATCAGAGTGATCTGGACTCAACTACATTGTGGGATAAACTTACTTCTGACGTCAAGGCAAATCTCGACAAGCAACAAGTCTTCCTGAAGTTCCAACGTTCAGCATGGTACTCAAATAATATGGAGGTGAAGGACGATAAGGATATTTCTATTGGTTCTCTCACGACGTCTTTCCTTGCTTTCAGTCACTGGACTCTGTCTTTTCCAGCCGACTCTCCACATTCCAATCACACAATTGAGATGCAGCCGACAGGCATGGGAACACGGATAGATGTTTTTGTCCAAGAGAGCGTTTTCTACTTCTGGGACATGATCAGCGGAGCAGCTGACAGGCGGATCTATAAGCTACTCAAAGTTGTGGATGGAAAAAGGGTTGAGGTTGCACGTTTTGTTTCCAGGCATGCGCGGGATCGCGAAGGGGTGCTATTTCTTGACGGCGCGATGGTCGACGCAGTCGTTGCGGGTATGACATGCGTGGCAATTGTGAATAGGACCGACTCGTTCAGGAAGTAGTTTTGTAATGAATAGTCTAGACGCTTGGATCGTCGCCGAGAAATGAAGAACATTTTCACTGCAGTTTGAGTCTACACGAAAGTCTCTTCACATCGACTAACGATTGTGTATTTGGCCAGTGAGGCACTGCCAACCACAATTGAGACTTCTTCTATTCAATAAGTGCTTAACCCTGTATCTGTAAGTTGGGGCCCTAACTGCAATGCTCTTTAACAATTAAGTAGAAAAGATAAAGACTCATGCAGAGGTTGGGATATGCGGAGACGCAAGAACTGCGTAGTGGCACCCTGATGGACCATGTGCGGGGCCCCGGCTCGGATTTAGCGGTCAACGACAGTGGGTTCGGCGCAGTAATTCAACAGAAGGGGGTCAAGCCATTCTCCGCTGCCGGAAGCCCAGAGAGCCGGGCGGATCCCGCTCAACAATTGAAGGCTCCAATTCACTATCATGACATTCGCATCCAGCATAGTTATGATGAATGCCTATGCCACCCAGAAGGGGATTGTCTAGAGGAGAATGTCTAAATCCAACGCAAACGGCGGACAATTGGACCTGAAGAACATGGCTCCCAGCACAGAAGAGGCCGGCATGCCTCGTCCGATAAGCGGCAGCGAGAACACCGGCTCTCCGTCGACAATCGATGAGACAGTCACGAGCCCTCGTCCCGAGAATGGCTCTCAATACCAAATATCCTCATTGATGGAGTACAGACCGCCAGATGGCGAGGCGATTAGTGCTCCTGCGCGAATAGCTCGACCACTGGCCATGCGCCTGTACTTATCGCATTTTCTCTCGACATGGAACTCCCGTCTCTTCGAGTTCGGCGCTGTGCTCTTCCTGGCCTCTATCTACCCATCAACGTTGTCGCCGATGTCAGTCTATGCCCTCGTCCGCAGTGCGGCCGCAATTGTCTTCGCTCAGACTGTCGGAACGTGGATTGACAATGGCAATCGACTAAGCGTGGTCCGCTTCTCCATTGTAGGGCAGCGATTCGCCGTCGCCGCAAGCTGTGGACTGTTCTGGGCACTGGAGCAGAAAAGTACTTCATTAGGGCCAAGGACCAAGGATGGCTTTTTTACGTTAACGGTTTTGCTGGCTTGTGTAGAGAAGCTGTGCTCTATGATGAACTTGTTGTCGGTCGAGCGAGACTGGGTTGTTGTAATCACCGAGGGCAATGATAGCTCGAGGCGAAGTAAGGCCTACCTTCTCTATGACTTTAGGAGACAGGCTAATATTATGCATAGCTCTCAATGCTCGCATGCGCCGGATCGATCTGCTCTGCAAGCTGCTCGGCCCACTCGTCATCTCAGCGATCGCAATGGCTTCCGTGCTTGTCGCGATATGGGCCACGCTCGCCATGAGTGGGCTCTCCGTTGTGATCGAGTACATCTCCATCGCCCAAGTATGTTACCACACTCCGCTTCACGAATATCACTAATCTCGCAGGTCTACAAACACGTGCCGGCCCTTCGCAGAGAGCCACCGCCACCGAGTGAAGCCCACGCTTACGAGCCTGTGGGCCAGGAGGAGCAGGATGACGAGCCCGAGAGACCACAGCCCACGAAGTCATGGTTCCAAACCACCTTACACCATGTCCTGCCCATATCCTCACTCCCGTTCTACTTCCATCATCGCGCCTTCCTGCCGTCTTTCTCTCTGGCACTCCTCTATCTCACCGTGCTGTCCTTCTCAGGGCAGATGGTCACGTATCTCATCTCGATCGGGTATACTTCGCTACACGTGGGTATCGCCCGGACAGTAAGCACCATCTTCGAGCTCTCCGCGACGTGGGTCGCTCCACGCCTCATGAAGAAGATCGGCGTGGTCAGGGGCGGCATCTGGAGTCTGTCCTGGCAGATGATCTGGCTCGCCGCCGGCGTGTCCTGGTTCTTCGCCGGCTTCGAGGGGTCGCGCAGCAATGCGGTCGTCTCCGCAACGGGACTGGCAGTAGGCGTCGCGCTGAGCAGAGTCGGCCTTTGGGGCTACGATTTGTGCGCGCAGAACATTGTACAAGATGTAGGTACTTCTCAGACTGCATTGCTCGACGCTGGTCACTTACACTAGAACAGGAAGTTGATCCTCACCATCGCGGAACCTTTTCTACTGCGGAGGCCGCATTCCAGAACTTGTTCGAGCTCATTTCGTACGCCACCACTGTCATTTTCTCCCGTCCGGACCAGTTCCGCTGGCCGGTGGTCATCAGTGTGGCCGCCGTCTACATAGCTGGGGGTCTGTATGCTATGTTCGTGCGAAAGAGACGTGGGCACCTGTTTCACGCGCCGCCGTGCATCTGTGCCAAAGGCGAGGGTGCATAGTGGGTATATAGACAACTTCTGAAGAGTCTATCATTGAGCGTTCATGCACAAACTACCTTATGTTCCATACGTTCCATCGTTGAGGCAGCATAGATAGATTTGCCAGTTTATTAATTCCCAAGAGATTCCAATCTCGATCAAAAAGAAAAACGCTCAATGGTATCCTACGCTTTAGATTTCCCAAACTCCAAACTCATTGGCAGTTCTCATCAAATGTGCATGCGACTTAAGTACTCGCTCCGTCCTTCTCGGTCACACCCTCCTTGCCGTCAGTCTTTCCGTCGTTGCTTCCTGTGTCAAGAGCCTCGACCACAGTCCTCTGTTCTTCAACATCGGTCTCAAAGTAGTCAGCAGGCTCCCTCCATTCACCGCGGACCTGGTAGGCCTTGGGAGGATCAATGATGTTGAGAGCCCAGTAGCTGAAGAAGCTAAGCACGAGCCCCATGGGATACGCGAAGAAGTACATTCTTCTCGCGGGGGTTGTGATGTCGACACCAAACACTCCAAGGAAGCCGTAGAAGTTGGGGATGATGCCAATCAGATAGGCAATGTAGGCACGATAATTCCAACCCTTAGAGTAATGGTAGGCACCAGACTTCGCCGAGGTGAACAGGTCAGGGATAATAAATTGGCCGCGGGAAACGACATAGTATTGGCATAGCAGGACACCAGTGATGGAGGATAGGAAGATCTGGTACGAGGCAAGCCAAGCGACAAAGCTTGATGCTGAACCCAGGATGTACCAAGGGCACATAGCATACGAGATTACGGCAGCAATGTAGAAGCCGCGACGGATGGTAATGAATCTTGGCCACAGAGCAGCCAGATCGTTACCAGCCGGGATCGAATTCTCAAAAATGGATGAGATGACGGACGAGATCAAGAAGCCCAGTGAAATGAAGAAGACGCCAGCACGTGTCCCAGAGCTGTAGTTCTTCGTGAGCATCATATCCATCAAGTCGACAGGGTTCCAGACAAGCTACAGCGGCATGATTAGCAGGAAAACTTTTAGTCAACAATACTGTGATGCTTACCTCTCCCTGAGTGATCACCGAGCTAGACACAATCAGGTTACCGATGAGACCAATGATGAAGGTCGACAACGGGAAGCCGATCAACTGGGGCCAAAATGCATCCTTGGGCTTCTTGGCGTAACGCAAGAAGTCGGCCGCGTTGGTGGCATAAGTTGCACCGTTGGCACAATAGATGAAAACATATTGAGCAACGGCCCATGACTTAGTGCTCCCGGAGATGGTGCTACCCTGCCGGGCGACAGGACCAATGCCACCGGCTTGAGCCAGCGCCCATGCGAGAAGAGCAATCGCACATGCAAAGAATAGGACAAGCTTCGTGTACATGTATGGCTTCAGCTTGGGGATCTTGATGTGCAGTAGGCATGTCGTAATGACCCTATAAGAGTAGACGGCATTAGCAGGCAGGCCCATGTTGATACAATCATTTGCTCACCAGAAGAACATGAAGCCAATCATTCCTCCCGAGTTCAGGGCGGACATGCCCGGAGGGAAGACATCCGGGATTCGGGCAATGGACGGGAACAAGGAGTGGAGCAGGACATAGGCGCACTGCCCGCCCTGCACGGCGTTGACGCCGGTCCAAACAAGCGTCATGACGACCCGGTTGACGACGGGCCAGTACGCGCCCCACACGCCGAAGGAGGCGCGAGCAATCGACGGGTACGGGATGTGATAGACGGCACCAGCACGGCCATTGAAGCAGAAGACGGTCGCGATCATGACTGCTAGTGGTCAGTATGCCGATGGATGGACTGGCGCAAGCCACTCCCGCGATGGCGGTCCAATGAGGGCGGTTTGTTTTGGGATTAGATTGGATTACTTACTCTGACCACCGAGCTGGACGGCCAAGGCCTCCCAGAGGCTCAAACCAGCCGCGAGGGCGGCATTGACGCCGTAAAAAGAGGCCGGAGTGGCGTTGGCCGACAGCCAGAACCAGAAGTAGTCCTGCCAGCCGTAGGTGCGGTCTTTGACCGGGACGGGCCGGAGATCATCATTGTCGAGCCATTGATTGTGCTCCTTCGCGCGGGCGGCGCGGTACTCCTTGGTCTCTAGCCGGTGGACCAGCCGGTGGAACGCGGAAGAAGAAGCCATGATGCTTGCTTGATGGGTCCGATCGTGTGAGGAGGAAGAGGAGAGGAGGCTATCCCCCGAGCGCGTGTCGACTGCCTTACTGCTGTGTAGATCCGCCCATTGCGGACCTTGCTCTCTCTTCAGCGTTTTTCTGCTGTTATTTGCTCTGGCAGCACGCCTTATTATATTGCAACCCCGTGAATGGCCACAGTTGACCTGTCACCCTGGACCCCTTGTCGTTATCAAAACGGGCTGGGATTGACGCGCTCCGTCTTCCCCGACGGCAGAGATTTGCTCGCTTACTTTCGCTTGTTAGCCCCTTATCACCCAGCGGGCCTCCGTCGGTGCTCCAGGGCGACCACACCTGACACCACCTCCCGTGCTCGGCTCGTCCAACGGTGCCCCGCACCACCAAGTGCCACCTGCTGCGTTGTAGTGGCCACCCAGTGTCACCCCTCTCCTGGACCCCTGAAGACCACTGCTCGCCATTGGCACAAGGCGACGCCTCAGATGCAGCCATTTGTCAGAGGTTCGACCACGACAAACTTCAGTCGCTGAGCCAGAAGAGCCTGTTCCTTGGGGCTGAATGCCACCGGCCGCTCGGAGACGAGATAAACGAGGGAGGAGGATCTCGGCTAGCGGTTCTGCATCGCCGTCCGTCGGACAACAGATGGCGATAACAATATCAATGGTGGAGAGAGGACAGTAATAATAATAATGTAGCCGCTTCGTTGTCCGTCCGGCCGGATATACCAGACCAGACCAGAACTTCTCCCTAGACTTATCCTCTTTGCTTGCCTGCCGTTGCTGCTCCATCATATAAACAACCGGCCCCCATCTGGCACGGCTTGGGCACCCAGGACCCGACAAAAGTCTCTTCAGATCTGTAGCCATCTCCTCTTTGGCAGCTTTTCGTCCGACTTGCCCTCGTCATGTCTGCTACCGAGGTCGTCACACAGCCGGCCGTAGCCCCGGGCCATAAGCTCCTCCAACTCACTACTGCTTACGGCCCCGTCTTCCGGCCCGTGAAGACAACACCGCCCCGGGATGCCACCATCGAGGAGATCCCCCTGATAGACGTCTCCGGCATATTCAGCGATGACATTGCTGACCGTAAGGCCGTCGCCACCGAGATTAGGAAAGCAGCCACAACCATCGGCTTCTTCTACATGAAGGGCCACCGGGTCCCCAGCGAGGTCATACAAGCGTGTCTTAAGTCTGCCAATGACTTCTTCCACCAGCCAGAGGAGATCAAGCAGAAGGTGAACCAGGCCAACAGCAAGTGGTACAACGGATGGAACGGTCCGAAGTCGCACCGCGCCAACGCAGTCGAGTCTATCGATCACCGCGAGAGCTTTGGCATGCGGTACGACCCTCGGTATGACCCAGCCGTGGATGATGTCGCCGCCATCCCACAGGAGATCAAGGACGGCTTCCGCGCTGAGGAGTACGTGTGGGAGCAGACTGCCAATCTGCCCACCTTCAAGGAGGATGTACTGAACTACTGGCGAGCCTGCCTCGCCTTAGCCAGGAGACTGAAAAGCGTGTTCGCTCTTGCCCTGGACCTGCCTGAAGACTACTTCGATCAGAAGATGAGCCACCCTGATGCCGCCGTCGCCCTCAACTACTACCCAACGATACCCGAGAGCGCACTGCAGTCCTCCGAGGAGGCGGTCAGCATCGGCTCGCATACCGATCTCCAGTTCTTTACGATGCTCTGGCAAGATCAGAATGGGGGACTCCAGGTCCTCACGAGGGACGGGCAATGGCTCAACGCAATGCCCATCGAAGGGACCTTTGTCGTCAACATCGGCGACTACCTACAACGAATTACCAACGACCGCTTCATCTCCACAGTGCATCGAGCCAAGAACTTCAAGGCCACGGAACGCTTCTCGATGCCATTCTTCTTCGGTATGTTCTTATAATCATGTTCACATTGTGCCACGACACTAATATCACCAGGGTTCAACTTCAACGAGACATGTGGTGTGCTGCCCAGCTGTGTTGATGAGGAGCACCCAGCCAAATACGAGCCGATATCCTGTGAGGAGTGGGTTAGGCTAAGGTTTAAGGCTACGACTCTCGAGACGAAGGAGTAGCGAAACCTATCACGCCGAGGAAATATCATAAAGTATACGTTATCCATAGCCGGGCGAATGGAACTCATTTGTCTTCACGGAATCTCATGGACTCCTTGTACATACTCAATTCATGTTGCTATACCCCCATAGTGTGATGGCCAACGACAATAATCGCAATACTAAAGATCATGGCTCAATATGACCGTTTCAGTAGTAAGGCGTGTTTTCCGATCAAATAGTTGTTAAAGTGTTCGAATTAGTTGCTATTGATGAATGAATCTGTCGTGGCTCAGCCGCCTGGTTTCTTCGACATGAGGAGCTTCGGAACCATTGCAAGGATGAGCGATGTGGTCAATGGTTAGGGTTGCTCTGCAACGCATGCGCTTGAAAGTGATGAGAGGTTACTTTCATGTCACATGATGATTGATGCCACTACTGTCTGCATAGCTGGCCGGGCGATCACCACGACAAGACTCTATTGGACTAATCAAGGCCAGGCAGACCCGAGGCTAGCTCGCTGCCTTGCGCAGCCAGAGTCCAAACAATTCATCAGTTTCAACTAGACTTGCACTTTGACTGTGTATGAGACAATACCTTAGGGGAATTTACCCGTATTTTCTGGGACAAATTCAACATCGGCTAGACACCAATGGAGCCGCGTCCAGCTTTCCAGCATGCAGAGTTGCTGAGTTGTCACATTATCGGACACCCACCGGCCTCCGACGAAGAGTGCGGAGACATCGTAATCAATGTGGGCATATCACCAGCGACTATCAGCTATCAAAGCCAGTCTTTTTTGAAGGCACTAATCGTAAAGCCCAACTATATTCTGCTCTTCCTATTTCCGCCGAACGCAAGACAATCCGACTCTAAGAAGTGATAGACCCGGGAGGCTTTGTCAGGAATCGCGAGATAAGAGGCAGTCTAAAGGCTGTCTCCTTAGACGATGGCCCAAGCTTCGCAGCACTGTCTCACACATGGGGCAGTGGTGACTCACCTCCCTACAAGATCAACTGCGATGACCATTTTCTCGACGTAACATACAACTACTAGTCAACTCGGTGGCACTTGAGAAAAGCACTCGGCTCCTTCACCATCTGGGTGGATGCGATCTGTATTATTCAGTAGGATGTTCAGGAGAAGGAATCACAGATCTGCTAATGAGAGGAGTATTCTCCGCCGCAAGCCCAACTTATATTTGGCTTGGAAATGGCAATAAATAATCTGATATCGCCATGGATCACCTGACAACTGCTGGATACCAACGATTCCTGGTGCCGGAAACCGAGATAAAGTACTCTAATCCGACTGGCAATCGATTTACGAGCAGGATTAGAGGCTCTTGCTGAGAGATATCGTTCAAAGACGAAGTGTAGGTCTTTTGTGGCTCTCATTGCGTAGACTACTCACGAAATTCGATCAAGACAAATCACTGACCCCCGTGATAGATCCTTCCGGTTACACGTTGTTTTGAATGAACTCGGGGTATCTTTTCTACCACCCCAAGTACCAGCAACGAAGCGGGAGTTATATAGGGAGCTTTTTATTGGTTTACTTGAATGGAGTCAAACTCTGAGCCTTCTCTTGTGCTGCTCTGCTAACTCTAAGTACAACGGATCATCGTGGCTCCCAGACTGGAGTATAAGTTCAGATAGCGGCTGGCTAAACGAGGACTTCCTATTTGGTCGCATCGAACACCACGCGACGAACCCTGGGAAGGTGTTGCAATCTGACTCCTACACTCAATGGACTCTGTGTTCAGGAGGTCGGCTCATTGTACGTGGATTACGAGTTGGTACAACAGAGTGGCGTTGCGATCGGTTCCTTGAAGGAGCTCATGTTTCCACCCTGCAGAACTGCTGCAAGCTGCTATCGGAGGCGCTGAAGCACGCACCCAGGACCCCATATACTGAGCCCTTCCGGCTTCGTCAGGTTACAAGACCGGATTACTTTCGAGTGGATGACTTGGACATACCGGAGGGCTGGCCTTTATTACATGCCATATTACAGAATCCGCGCAATCACCACTTCGACCCCTGGTCGGTCGATCTGTGGGATGCTCGAAGTCTCCCACCACAAGATGTCTTTTCCAAGATGCGCAAAGAGATTATGAACGAGCCTCCTTGTAAACAGACCATGGCAAGTTTATACTGGAATGGCGATGCTAATCGTAACAGATCAAATTTCCGCGAGAAGGCCAAAGAATTTCCTCCTCTCACGCAGCTCGAGTGAGACGAAGACCATGATAAATAGTGCAGTGATCATGCTAAGGGCAAAAAAACTTTTTTCCTTACTGATATGCAGACAAAAGGTAAATTTCCTGAGGAGGCAGTAGTTGGCGATATAATTGTCTTGATATGGGGAGTTACCATGCCAATGATATTACGAAAGTATGGCAAACACTATCGTTTGGTCGGCTTTTCCGACGTCGAAGGGATGATGTCCGGACAGTTAAGGCAGTATGTCAAAATTGAAGAACTGGAGGAAATCATACTATGCTAATGATAAGCCTGGTCAGAAACAACGTATGCTACTTCTAAACTGTAACAATAATGGCGATGAGCTTAATAATCTTAGAATCGATCCCTCTGAAATCTCGAGAACATCCGATCATTCGTCTCTTTCTCTAATCTTCTTTCTTTCAAAGTCTCTTGTTCCACCATGTCATTGCGAGCCTTCTGTTCCCGGTCAAGGTCATACTCATGTCGCAGATGCAAGACAAGGTGCCTTTCAATCTCATCTTTCGTACGGGACTCGAAGAAGGTGTCTTCGTCAACGACGTTCTTGAACTCTTGTTCTTGAAATTCGTAGAAGTCTACGTCGTCAGCATTCCTCTGGGAAAATATATGCTGATACCGAAGGGGGCTTTCCCGGTCCACTTTGAAGACCCAGATATCGCCGCGAAATAAAGCGTTGTCTATCTCACGCCGAGACTTCACAATACCAGCCGTCCGTTTGAATGCCCATTCATTCCCAGGATGATTTCCTAAATCTCCATTTAATCGATAGTAAACTTCAAATTCGAGAAAACCTCGGCTAGCTGGAACTCTGAGCCCGGCCTCACACCACCTGCCATCTCCCTTTTTATACTTCACACATTCTGGTATCGGTTTTTTCTTGTGCGGTTCGCCTGCATCATGTGAATGATTTGAAGTTTCAAACAGAATCCGCACATATTCGCGTGACTCATGACCATCAGCACCTAGTCTTAAGCCTTCTACTAAAATAGACCCGTCGTTCTTCGTTTGGGGTTGCGGTGGAAGAACTTTGTTGATGCTGCGTTGAGCAGACTGTGAAGCGAAAGAACCTGGAATGCTCACAAGGTCTGTCTGATCCATGTTGGAATATGCTGTGTATTTGATCTTGATGCGGACGGCCTCTTGCAGAATTCTTCTCAGCATAGACCCCTGTAGCTGTGCCAGGGCTTCTGGGATATATCCATAGCCGCCAGCGATGTCAAAAGGAAAGGCGCAGTTGGCAGAAATCTGATGATGCCCGTCTCTAGTCCGGTACTGCACCTTATGTGCCTTGCCGTTGGAGAGGATCTCCGCGCAGAAATGGCAAGAAAGTTTGCTGACACCAATATAGGGGTGGGTGCTCTTTCCAGCTGCCTCTTCATTGTGAAGTACGCGCAAGAGCTGAAGCTCGCAATGGAAATACTTTTTGAATTGTGTCGAGCCAGCCTTCAGCTCATCCAGAATTTTATTCCTGTGTGAGGACTTTTCAAGTCCCGACCAGCCCTCAATCGTCCTGACAAGCTCGAGCTTTTCCAGGGAGAACTCTGGAAACGCGGGAACAAACTCGATGTTCACCTTGATGTTCTTCTCCCGCAGTTCATGCCGAATCTGGTTGAGAACTTTCCAAATTGTTGAAATTGTGCCTATCATTTCTAGGTCTTTGACTCTCTTGCGAAACTGGTTATAAGCTCGAGCAGCTGAATCATCCTGGTCTTTTCCAAAAGGATATGCCTGTCGAGTTTTTCGATTTCGAAACTGAAAACACTCTTCAAAAGCCGCGAAACATAACTTAATGCTGGCGGCTTCCGGTCCTTTGATTTTCTTCTTGCCTTTCCCGGTTTCTGCTGGCTGAACGATCCAACTGGCCTCCGAATTGCCATCCTTATAGGAACCGTTATTTGGATTTCCCAGGGATTTCGACATTTGAACCACCCTATTCCAGTCCTCTTGAAGCCTCGCTACGTCGATATCAGCCATCTGGGTCTTCGCGAATTCCTCGATTGTCACAAAGCTGATCTCTTGAACAGATGTCTCAGACCCCGTCGTCGACTGGCCTAAGGGGAGGAGGCTGGCGCCGTTTTGGATCCCTTTCACATAGTGAGTGATTCGCTCGTCCCAAAATTGAACGATATCACCCCACAACTGGTCGTTTGGTTCTGGAGAGCCTGCGCTTCTTGAACCTATCAGGGTGCTACTGATAGCGATCGCTCCTTGAACAACATGACTTAGCTTATTAGGTACGGTGGGCTCTCTATTCATCCATGCCTGAAGACGGTTTGCAAAGTCTTCGTCGTTGATAGGACCTTGGCTGCTAGGGCCAGCGTTCTTAGCAATCAGAATCTTCCAGCAATTCCGTTCAAGTATCATCGCGGACGCTGTTACGTTGGCCGGTGTCTTGTTCTTCCTCTTGAACCTAGAAAATAGCAAAGATAAGAGGTCAAGGAAAAGGTTCGTGGTCTCATGAGGAGTGGTCTCGGAGGAATCCACGTCGAATGCCGGCGTTGCATTTGAAGACGACCTTTGCTGCCGCTGCACAACACTGAGGTAATATGCCGCTGCGAAGAACTGCTCAGACTGAAGACCTGGTAACTTCCACATCTCAGTCTCGAGGTCTGCTGCTCCCTCTGTAATTGAAGAAGCCATAACAACGGTTAGATTCAAATTGTCTGGTTCAGGAGTTACCAATGAGTGCAAATAAATGGAAGAGGAATCTGAAATATTCAACTCTCTAGGTTGAGATGCAGACACTCATTTCGAAGTCGAATATTAGCTAGAATTTATTGTCGTAAGGCTATACAGGCAGCAGCAGCAGCAGCAGCAGCAGCAGAGAAGCGCCACAGAAGCAAGTCCTGTGTTATTTTTGGCCAACGGCGCTTAAATTGTGTTTCGGTCCTAGAGCCTTGTGATGGACTCCAACCAGACTTCAGTCTACCAAGAATAGTGCCGACATTTGTGGGCTGCTGCGCAACATTCAAGTGTTGGCGCAGCCCCATTGGTTCGTCAATCTCGAGACCAACATCTCAGCCAACATTGAGAGCCTTGCTTGTACCAGTTAACATGAATGAAGAAAAAGCATGATGTCTAGATTAAGGCAATGAAGTCGTAGACTCTTAAAACCTTGGGCATTTCTCATAATTTATTAGCCATGGCTAGTCCTCGACAGAGCCAGATACTGTGAGCGATTGGTATCTTTTCACTATAATTATTAAATACTCCAAATTCTTAAAATGACATTCATATCTCAAAGAAAGCGTTGGTCTAGCTATATAGCGTTGGGTAACATGTCTAATTATTAACGGGCAGTGGACCACAATAACCGCCCAATCCGATAAACTCCAGGCCGATGTCGGTTGTTTAAATAAGATACCACTCCATTTAGCATCTGTTGTTGATGTTGATCATACCACATATGCTCTTCAAAATCATTCGCCGGGGTTAAAGTTGGGTTGATACCCAGCCGTCTCATACGGCATGGGCTCTTCAAGCCCCTGAGCAAGACTCAAGTCGGGCATGTTATTCCACGCTAGAAAAGCATCCCAATTCGCGTCCCCGTTTCCAGCAAGCAATACTGCCACATCGGGAACGGCTTCATTGATCCCGGGAGTCGGTGCGGTGCCGTTGGTAGCGGGATCTTCAATGCCCGCAACAGCTGCTTTCCGCCGTATTTCGACTAAGACGATACCGAAACGGTATGCAATGTGCTCGTCATTTGAGGCGAGATCCATGAGGCTCTGCTGCGTTGCAGCGATGAGCCGATGGCCAAAGGCGAACTTGCACAGCGTTAGTGCAGCATAGATGATCATAAAAAAGAAATGGTCGGGCATGTCCAGGATGATAGAAAATTCAAGGCTAAGGAAAAGTTCCAGTATATCGCAAGACGATTTGATGGCCTCGCTCACAAGAGCCGCCGAGTCAGCATCCGTGGGTTCCCCCTTGAGAGCAGCACGATACACAAGGAGGTGGCAATACCAGTAGCCGACTTTCAGGGAGAGCCCCTCAGGAATGTTGAACAGGTGACCCCATCTTACACGGAAGTCCTCGAGCTCGGGGACGACGAACATCCCTGACTGTTGTAGTTGGATGCTCGCTCCACTTGACAGGATTGATTCCGTTCTGGTAAAAAGCAAAACTTCGGCATATAACTTGCCATCCGTGAGAAGTGCATCTTCGAACTCGATAATTCGTGCGCACTGATCGATAAATTTGGGTTGAACCATATTTGGTCGCCCGTTACCAATAGAAAATCTGTTGAAAGTTAGCATCGTTGATAGAACCATGAGATATCAGGGCAACTGACTGAACATTGGTGAGGCACAGAGCATTCCAGATGCGGAGCCGTCTCAGCTGAGCCTGGGTTTCTTGGGATACGTTAAAGTCGCTTCCAGACAACCCGAAGGACAATGTCCCGTGGTTCATAGCAATGCCAGAGACCATCCAGGAATCAATAGGCATAGCAGTCTGGATGGTAGGGGTGAACATGCTGAGGACTGCAAGAGCCTGGAGTGCTTCGTAGTCTAGAGGAGGCGTCTTGAAGACGACGCTGGCTACCAATCGTCGAACGCGGAGGTACATCTCGTGTACAGTAGCCTTCGTTATTCGTGGAACATGTCTAGTTGCGAGAAGGCATGCACTGCTGAATAGTAATGGATGGCGCTGCTCCATATCTGCAGGCATGTCTTCTAGCTTATAAACAGATATCCAGCTGCCGTAGTGTTTGATGAAACTGGCCTGTCAGCGTCCATATCTAGCAAATCGTAGGCATCTCGACTTACACGCGAAGAAGAGATTGAGCCAATGACGGGCTGATGATACCAGCAGCAACGACCGACCCAACAGAGAGCTGCTCGTCGGAGAAATCCCTCTTAGGTCCAAAGAACTGCGTTTGCAGATTTCGAAGTAAAAGAACAGGTCGAGTAACACCCTTAGCCGGCTCAGGATTTGTGCGAGGTGGCACAGAGAACTCAGAACTAGGGCGATGATGCAGCCTGAGAGGTATTGAGGTGGAGGGGCTAACGCCCGGTGTTGTACGTAACATGCCATTGTCGACAACCGTCTGGACAAGTGAAGTCAGCCTGTCGAGACTCTGCTCAATATGTGACATGCGCAGCTGCAGTCCAGAATCAGACGCAGCTGTCGCCACAGATAGCTCGTCTGTATCAACAGGCGCGGGCAAGTCACATTCGAGTCTGAAATAAGTCAGCATGACATGCCAGATGTATGCGATGGCAGCTTTCTGATGGTGAAGGCAGGAGAACACACCGCAAGGAGATGCAGCGCTGGCAGGCCTTCCGGCCAGTAACGATCTCGCATCGAGTCTTGAGACGGCGACATGTGACACAGGACGTGATAGGCCTGTTCAAACGGCGCTTCTTTTGGGGTTGGTCTGCCGCGTCCTCCTGCTTTACGGAGTCGGCATGCCGGCCGTCGTTATGTGGCGACGACATCGGCTTCTCGGTCGGTCCCGTCACGATTGCTTCACCGAATTGCGGCTAGTGATCGCATCCATCTCCTACCTACTCTACACCAGGAGGCCGAGAATTGGTAGTGACCTTGGCAGAGCTCGGGGTTGATGCCAAGGACCGTCCTACCGGAGACTGGGCCGTGGGTGGACCGCCTCCGGAAGCCACCCGAGATCCCGGGGGGAAGGGGAATGAAGCACCAGGCCCAATGCAGAACCCAGCACCTGAAAGTGCCGACGGGCGAGATGCACCTGAAGGCGAGAGGTATGCGAATGGGGAAACCTGGGGGAAAGACGCGTTAGAAGTCAGGAGACAGGCGGCGGTATGGGGGACACATGATTGGTCGCATCACGCCATTATCCCAAGCCACCTGCACCTGTGCTGGGGGGCGGGACGTCTGGAGTAGACCGAGCGGGCTGGACCAGTCCAGTGTGTCGGGAATGGAGTGACAACTAACAGTGAACAATCAATCTAGAGTGCGAGGCTCATAGCAGGTATCTAAAGTGGCTCTTCAGAATCCAGGGCCTGGGTAGACTCCACCTCGACTATGATGGGAGGGGGGGAAATGGCGACGATGCAGATGTGATGTTGATGAACGGTCTCCTCTGAAGCTGTTTTTGCGACTAGACCAGGCAGGCACGGTGAAATAAATGTTACAGTACAGGACCTACCTAGGTATGAATTGAATGAATCAGGTAAGCAAATCAGCATGCGCGCCCAGGGGAGATTGTTGATCATTTTGACCGCTGCTCGAACGAAATTGGACTGCTGAGTGCCAAGACTTGAAGTAGTGCACGTGATACAAAAGCGACGGGTAGAGAGTCAGAGTAAGAGCAGCGGAATAGAATGGAAGGCAGGAGCGATGGCGTCCAAGTCAGGCAAGCCACAGCAGAAGCCATTAGCGGCACCAGCCACACCAGCCAGAGCTGGCTCCCTGACGCATCACCTCACCCCCCCCCCCGCAAACGGCATAATGCAGTGTACCAATGTACCAATAAAGAGAGCAAGAACAATGAACTGAGCCTGTCTGCTGCTTGTTGGAGGGGCATCAAAGCCTCCAGTTCCCCGCCCCTCCTACCTAGTAGCTACCTACCACCTGTGACTGACATGCCGCCAGGTACAAAAGGTCGGCTCTCGCCCGCCCACCCCACACCGCATCGCCCAGCAGACCGATGGTAGATGGCAGATTTCATACCTAGGTATACCTAGGCAAATAAATGCTTGCTACCTAAACCCAAGGCCTGCAACTCGAAAGTGGCCAGACCAGACCACCCCAAAATCAGGTGTCCTGCCTCTACAGACCATTACGACCACCTTCTTTAGTGCTCAGCGAACTGTAGCACGCCACTCTGCAGAACCTCACCACCGCCTGCGTCGAGACTGTCTCTTATTCCCCTTCCTATTCCCTTTGTTAAAAGCTACTTTCTGCTTTACCCGACTACTTCTCCTAGGCTCTTATCATCTTTCCTATCTGTGGCCATATCGATCTTCCAGAAGAGAGCCCAGTTACAGACAACCGAAGATTTGAGCACCAACCAGCGGGAGCTTGCTGCTGACAGTGCTGAATTGCCAATCCACCTGTCCGGCGCCTTGAAGACACCCAAATAACCGAACCCCGGGTCCTTATTTTTGGAGCCTCCGCCAGTTCGTCTGCCGACACCGTGCCGTACCTTCCTACCACGAACGCACGCACCTGCCTTCACATTGCCCTACTACGCCACACCACGGCTGCGGTTTCCCTGCCTTCTGAACCACCCGACGAGTGCGCAGTGAACTCACGATAACAAACAACGTCACTTCCTTCCAACTTTGGTAGGTGCGATGGGATGGGCAATTGCATCTGCACCTGCATCTTTTCGTACACCTTCACCTTCACCTTCACAGTCCACTTTACCATTCTCCGCTTTAAGTGAGGAAATTTAGTTTGGTAGTCAGTCACTCAGTCGGTCATAGCTTCCGCTTGGGAAGCTGGGGAAAGCTTCATCGTAAGTCGTGCCACCTGCTCCTGTCAATAACCCTTTTACGTTCTCGCCTCTCCACATCCTTACGTACTCGTCATCACCACCCGGAAACAATCACCATAGGGTATGGCATAGGGTTAGGTCCCTTCTGTACTTTCTCGATCCTTTCCTTGGCAGCCTTTCGAGATCGCGAACTGCTCTTGTTGTGGCGCCGAACAAGGAGGACCCACTTTCGCTCGGCACCTCAAGCTCAAGCTGTCGCATCGCGCTACCCTAGCTGAACTACATACTCCATCCTCCCAGATTGCCATCGGAAATTCTGCGCTTCACTTCATTGACCAATACTAACTCATACAGTACTGATATTTATATCATCTTGACAGAGGAATATCGTGCATGAGCCACCCCTTCAACATCCACGTTCGCCGCAGCGCGTCACCACCTTCCAGACCGGCTGGCATCATGGCGAAATCGGTCCAGCTCGGTCACCGCCTGCGGTACCCCATCACCATCACACGCCTGCTCAAGTCGCGCGGCGACACTGTCAAGAAGCAGGAGCCAATCATGCAGTATAGCTTCAAGTGGATGGCGGACGTCGGCGATCCCATCGCGGGCGATACCTGGCAGGAGGAGCAAACGACTTTCGTCGACTGGGAGAGCCCCGTCGACGGTGAGATCAAGGAATGGCGCGTCAAGGCCGGCGAGGTCATCAAGCAGGACCGTGATTGCCTGGTGGTCAAGGAGGCATGCTCGCACGAGATACAATTCCAGGGCCTTTGTGCCATTTGCGGCAAGGACATGACCGAGGTAAATTGGGCCACCGAGCAACGAGACACAGATCGCGCCCCCATCAACATGACGCATGACGCTACTAGTTTGACCGTCAGCGAGCTTGCCGCGAGGCGCGCCGAAACCGAACTCCAGCGCCGACTTCTTGAACAACGAAAACTGAGCTTAGTCGTCGATCTCGACCAAACGATCATTCACGCCTGCATCGAGCCGACCATTGGCGAATGGCAGAGCGACCCAAACAACCCGAATTACGAGGCTGTGAAAGATGTCAAGAGCTTTCAGCTCAGCGATGAGGGCGTACGAGCCCCACGTGGTGTCACAAGTGGATGTTGGTATTACATCAAGATGCGACCTGGCCTGATGAACTTCCTTGAGCGCATCTCGAAGATGTACGAGCTTCACGTTTACACTATGGGCACCAGAGCATATGCTAAATCCATCGCCAACATTGTCGACCCTCAGAGCAAGCTTTTCGGCAACAGGGTAATCAGTCGAGACGAGAATGGCAACATGACAGCCAAGAGCCTACAGCGATTATTTCCAGTCAGCACCAACATGGTGGTAATCATCGATGATAGAGCGGATGTTTGGCCGAGGAATCGGCCGAATCTCATCAAGGTGACACCCTATGACTTCTTCAAGGGAGTAGGAGATATCAACTCGAGCTTCTTGCCTAAGCGGGAAGATCTCCTGGCCCCATCTCCTGACCCACAGGCCAAAGCGATCGCACCGAAACCAGCACAAAACGGCGCCTCCGCGCCGGAAGCGTCGTCCAAGGTGTCGGCACTCGAGAGTCTGGCGAGCATGAGCAATGGCGATGACACCGATCTTCTTAAATTACAGACTGAAGAGCAAGAGCGTGAGTTGGAAAAACAACTCACTGAACGACCGCTTCTTCATATGCAGGAGCAGCTTGACAAGGAAGACGAGGAGGCAGAAAAGACAACTCCGGAAGTAGAGGCGACAAATGGCCAGCAAACAACTCCATCTCACCAGCGACATCACCTGCTCCTCGACGACGATGTTGAGCTAAAATATCTCGAACAACATCTTACGAACCTTCATCATGCTTTCTACGAAGTATACGACTCACGAACGGACAGCTTGGCAGTACCAGATGTCGGCGCGGTTCTTGACCGTCTCAAAGCCAAAGTACTCCAGGGAACGACTATTGTACTATCTGGTCTCGTACCGCTTGGCGTTGATGTCCTCAAGTCTGAACTGGGCCTGCAAGCAGTGAACTTTGGCGCTCAGATTCACTCTAGGATATCACGCCGTGTGACGCACTTGGTTATCAGCAGTAATCGACCCAGAACACAAAAGGTGCGGCAAGCAGCGCAAATACCGAGCATTAAGATTGTCAACCAGAATTGGCTGGCAGATTGTCTCAGCCAATGGCGAATGTTGGACGAGACGCCATATTTGGTAAGTGTACCGAATTCAAGCCAGGCGTAAATTGAATAGTCGAGGCTAACAAGCAATCATCAGGTTGACCTTCACCCTGCAGATCGCGCTGGTGCCTTAGTGTCAGGTACTATTGAGACTGCTGATGCCGACACGATATCAGACATTGACACAGACTCAGAAATCAACGAGCCTCACCTCAGGAGGCCCGGCACGCTCAAGATTCTCGTCACCGGCCCTCAAAAAGGTTATTTCGACAGAGAGGATCTTGATGACGAGGACGACGATCCTACGTTCGACGACAATGGTCCAACGAGTCCCATTGAAACACTTCAGAACTTTGACTGGGGCGAGGCTGACCAGGAGATGGCCGAGTTTTTGGGTGAAGACGATGATGAATCGGATTTTGGAGAATCGGAAGCCAATAGCGAGAGCGAGGGCGAGACAGATACAGGTACTACTCGTGGCGCAAAGCGCAAACTTGGAGAGGATGACGGCGACTCTGATGGCTCGGTGGAACATGAATCTGTGCTCGCAAAGAAGCAAAGGCTCGCCCGAGAACGCGGTGGATCAAGCCTGCGAGCCGTGAGGACACCCGATGCCGCGGATGAGACCAATAGTCTACCGACGCCGAACGGCACTAACGACGATGAGGAAGTTCTCCTTGTCAAGAACATGCCCGCAAGCCAGACCAGCAAGGCCGCCGATGATCTGGACGATGATGACCTCGAAGCTGACCTCCTCGCGGAGCTTGAAGCCGAGGAACATATGGCAGATAAGGGATAGGAAACGATCTGCCCCACAGATATGTTTTCTGTATTGCGTACACTGTCAACGGTCGGTGCTTACCTACAGTAAAAGAGGACGAGACTGGAGTTGGGGAAACAAGCTCATCATGTATTCAGTATGATCGGTTTATAGGGCCATTGGCGGCACAACATTGGGGTTTCTGGCCAAGGGGCTTGCATAGCGTCTGAATAGGAACAATTGAAATACTGTACTATCACGTAACTTTTGTTTACCAACGTCCCTTGCAATACTGCTCTGAATGTTTGAGAGGCTCGAAAGTCAAGTAATGCCTTGAATAACATTGGCTGTACACCCAAGTGGGGTGGGGTGGCCGTACTCCTTATGTAAGCAATCTAGGCTAAGCTCTGCCGACCCCAGTCGAGTCTGAAGCTTTGAGCAACCTCACGTTTGACGACGATTGACAAACCTTCCACGGCCCAATTGAGACCACAATCGCCCACCATGCCTCAGGACATGCCGCCCGTGGGCGGCTACGAAGCCGTACAATATAAGGTGAGTCGAAACTGCCTGCTTTCTGAGAGAACGAGGATGGGTGGGTGGGGAGACCTGGATGCCGACAAATTCGAACCCCGATGATTCCAGCCCGCGAGATGGCGCGATTGCGACGAGCGATACGACAACCGGATCATACTTTGCAGCTTTATGTTGGCTTGATGGGTCGAATTATCCTGTACAAGATCTTTCTGGGCGCTTGGGGTCACCTAGGGGGACAACAACAACGGTCATTGAGGACGAGGGTGTTTGTTGTGAACAAGGCAAAGCAGGAGCGACGACGACAACAGCAACAGCAACAACAAACAGCTCCGAACCATAGGGAGTCTTGGCATGGACGAGCGGGCTCTCAATGGATCAGGTCTTTCTGGGGAGGAGAAATGGGCCGGGGCGCGATCGGGTCGGATGGTGCGAACGGATGCTAACATTCCCTCTTTCGCAGCGCAACCTCCCCTCCCGCGGCTTCAGCCCGGCTGCCCTTCTCATCGGTGCCGGCGCCGTCATGGCGTACGGATGGTACAAGCTCGCGGTTGGAATTAGGGAACAGAAGTATGTATCCGTCCGCACTGTTCACAGAGGCATCCGGTCCACGATACAGACTAATTATTCAACAGTGAGCTCGGCCGCGAGAAGATGTGGTCGCGCATCCACCTGATCCCGCTTCTGCAGGCCGAGGAGGACCGCGATCAGGTGCGACGACACCTGGCCGACCAGGCGCGCGAGAAGGAGTTGATGGGCGGCGAGAACTTCAAGGTGTACAACTCCGAACGGTTCGTGCGGCCGACGTTTGCGGTTACGCCCAAGGATGTGACGAAATAGAGTGGAGGGGACGAAAAGAAAGCACGGTGGACTCGGGAGAGGAAGCATGAAGAATGACCGAGGCGGCCGCCTTCGATATGCTCCTGATGAACAGATCTTGGTGTCCAATGCAGCCCGAGATCCACGACGAAGAAGCATACTCGTGGCTTCGGAACTTTGTACATATAAGAGTAGAGACACGCCCGGTTTCTCCAATCTCATCGACGGGCAAGCTCAATAAAAATAACTTCAATAACTATATTTTAGTCATTTATAATACCTGCTCAGAGCTGTTGATTTATTGAAAGATGGTAAGAAGCCTGATTTTTATTTGGACAAGAGAACTCAAGGGCAAGTCCATTTAGCTTCGATATCCATTCAGATGTGATGGGTATGCTCCAGAGTTTACCAGAGATACTAATGACAATTCCTTTCGAATGGCTACTGCCAAGATATAGGGCGTATAAACCCTTTGAGCCCTTTAGCAATCTACCTTTGACTTTTGCAATATAATATCCAAGACGTCTCTGGAACTCATCAAGACCGAAACCACTGTTTTATAGCGGCAATCGCCGCATCCATATCAGATTCCCCTTTCTCTTCGGCTACCCAAGCAACAACACCGTCCGGCCGAAGCAGCAGGGCCCGGAGCCCGCATTGGTTCTTTGCAGCCATGCCGATATAATCAATCCGAGACTCATGCCCGGCAATCAACTCTTTCAGGCCGGCTTCATCTCCAAAGTCCACCAGCAGTCCCCGACCCGATTGCAGCTTTGGGCCTAACCTCGAGCCATCCGTGAACTCAAAGTCCGGCGCACTCATCCCGACAAGCGGGTGAGCATGAGCCTTGCCGTCGCCGAGCTTGCACCGATGCGACAAACCCCAGTAGTGGCCAATGAGCTCGGTGGTTCCGTCAGTGGTCCTGATGAGATTGCGCAGGACCCCCCGGAGCGCTGCGCCGGCCGGATCGGGCTGGAGGGTCAGTGTCTGCGCGCGTCCCCAGTCAAGCACCCAGGCGCCGAGCGGATGGCGCTCGCTCCCGTACGTGTCCAGTAACGCCAAATCGGCGGGGAGCCCCTTGGCTTCCTGACGCACGGAGGAGGCCAGCTTCCAGCCCAGGTTGATAGCGTCGCCGATTCCGAGATTTAGCCCCTGAGCCCCGAGAGGCGAGTGGATGTGCGCGGCGTCGCCGGCGATGAAGACCCGGCCTTGGCGGTAGCTCGTCACCTGCATGGCTTGGTCGGTGAAGGTAGTTGCATGCCTCCACGATGTGATCTTTGCGTCAGGACTCCCCGTCATGCGGTCGAGTATGCTCTGGACATGCTCCTGCGTGACCTGCTGCGTGCGGTCGAAGGCGCCTCCATCCTCGAAGTCGGTAATATATAGTGTATTCGGTGCCACGCTGTACGCGCCGCCATCGCAGTAGTGGAATCCCGGCGTGAACTTCTCGTGCTTTGTCCACTCGCAGTCAACGACATAGCCGGCGAACTTCGGCCCCGTTCCAACAAAGTCGAACCCAGCGGCCTTGCGCACCGTGCTGCGTCCGCCGTCGCATGCCACGAGCCATCTGCCGCGGAAGGACACACTGTTCTCTCCGGCTTCGACAGTGATACCAGTGTCGTCCTGAGCTACGATTCTTCTGAAACCATGACCCCTGAGGATCGTGGTGCCCAGGCTCTCGGCGCGCTCGGTCAAAACTGTCTCGACAACCCATGGAAGTGGCTCGAGGCACAAGAGATGGTCCGGCGAGACGATACTTGAACTGCTTCAAGTCGAACTTGTCGAGGCTCAGTAGTATACCAGCGAAGTGGCCCGCAATACGAGGGCCGGGTGGCGGCTTCTCGCTGGCTGTAGGCTGTTCATTGACGTGGGACAGCTTGCCAGACAGCCAGGGTGTCTTCTCAAGGTGGACGGAGGCTTCACTTAGTTGCACCAGGGGGTCAAGAAGACCGCGGCGATGGAAAGCCTCTAGCGAGACTGAGTTTAAGCCTCGACGACCGAGTGTGTCCACTTTCCACGGAGCGTCCGGCTTGGCATCCCGTTCCAGGACCAGGACGGAAGCGCCAGCCAGCCGGAGCTCACATGCGAGAAAGAGCCCGATCGGCCCGGCGCCTACAATAATAACGTCGTACAGTTCCTCCATGATTGCTGAATAACTGGCGCTTGCTCAATCCAACCCTGCCTAGTAAATGATGGCAGGAGTGTGCGTGAGTCAAAGCACAGAACGATGTAATGAGTATGTCTTTCATTGCAAACCCGAGAATCACACGAGCTTTAATATGTCCTCCAGCCAGCCCGGCGGATTCTAAAACTTATCGAGATCCCCCTCTTGTCTCTTTGCTTGAGAGAACAGATGTGACTAGATCCTCCGCAGCGCTACACATTAGTGTGAGGCACAGGCTTATTGTAGAGTGAGTGAAGGAGCCGGAGGTCATCATAGGAACCCCGGATATGAGTAACTCGTAGATGTCCTAGCAGATGTTAATAATTCAATCCACACTAGAGGGTTCTCGGAACTGCTCACGTTTTACGGTGTTGGACGTGCGAATCCTTCACAAAGTTACCTAGCCCTCTGGTGCATATCAGTAAGTGGTCAATCGCCTTTGCTACTGGACACTCACAGTGTTAGGTGATACCTTATTATGATGTGATCTGACATCGACCTAGAGAACTCCGGTATAGTACATTTTTAGAGAACGCGTGGGAGTAGTCGTATTCTGCCTGTGCACCTTTCAATATCGGGAGCAGAATATGTGAACGTAAGTGAGGAATAAGAAAACGAAATCATTTTATTCTTCACATCATTACAATCCATCACATCAAAATCAATGAAATTATACCGCGGGTAATCTTCCATCCCCAACTCCGACCTGAGAACTAAAGTACAGGCTCGATGCTGTGTTTCAGCATATACTTTGGTACACTAAGCGGCAATTTGAACGAGCTTGAATCCTTCTGAAACAAGCTTCGTGATGTCCTCGCTCTTGTGTTGGAGCAAGCCCAGCGCAAAAGCGACATCGTTCCACTGCCTCTCTGTTTCGCAGCGAGCGAGACGAGCGGCCAGTTTTTCAGCCAATTGTTTGGCATGTTTGTCCTAGCGATCGTTAGCAAACTAGAATCACACAAGAGCGAGAAGAGGCGGGTATATACCTTCTCAACGAATCCAAGCAGGAATCGCACAATTCTCTTGAAACTCTCCTCTTCCAGATTCTTCTCGGCAGACAGCAAGCTGAACATGTCCACAAAGTGGTTGTACACAGCGTTGTCCTTGGTGCTGAGCTCCGTAAAGAACATGCGCGCCAAATCGGCAATACGCTTGTCTTCGTCCTCGAGGCACTTGGCCATCTCTCCAAGCTGTCCCTTGACCTTGACCTGACCAGCCAAGATGAGGAATGTCAAGGTCATGAGACATGTTCGCTTAACAGACGGCTCGGGGTCGGCAAGACGACGGTAGAGGAAGTCTGTGTTCTCATCAATGAGGTGGTTGAAGCAGACTGCCATGTCACCAAGAGCAATGACAGCGTTAGACCGGACAGTAGCATCCGTGGAGCGCTCCATGATTGTGATGAGCAGGGGAAGATTGGCCTCGCAGTACTCCGAGCTCACACACATCAACTTCGCCAAGCAAAGGGTAGCCGCAGCCTGTAAACCCTTGTCCTTGTAGGCGACATTGTTGGCACATATCTCGCTGACCAATGGCCCGAATACTGCTAGCAGGCTGTTAGGCCCGTATAGCAGCTCACGCTCGCGAATGTGTTGCATGGCCTCAGTGAAGTCATCCTCCGAAGTACCACCAATGAGGTCAAGCTCGTCGGCTTCTTCCTTCTCTGCGGTAGACTTGTCATTCTTGCTTGAGCGACGAGACTCGGCTGCTGCAGCCTTGGCAGCGGCCGCAGTCTTCTCCTTCTCTTGCTTTCTGCGCTTGAAGTCCAGCTCGCAAAGCTCTAGATGAACAATCTGCTTGATGGCAACATGACCCACGATGAAGAGAAGTTGAGATAGCGCAATCGCGTTGTCACGCTTTGGCTTTGAAGCTTGCTCTTGTTGCGACTGAGGGCCGATAACCGTAGTCTGGCCTACATCCGCGTTCTCAGTCAGGAAGTCACCCTTCGTCTCGTCACGAGAGCTCGGGCGTGAGCCCTGTCGGGAGAACACCTGCTTCGTCTTATGTCGAATGATTTCAGAGCAGAGCACATCCGGATGCTTAGAAATAGCATAAATGGCGTTGATTGCCTGCTCCGCAACACCGTACCATTCCTTGCTGTCAGAAGGAACATCGGTGATAGCCGCCAGTTTTACAAGTACAGCGTGATCGTTGGGAAGCCTAGAGAATTTCACAGCTGATTCCTTTGCCTGGCGACCTGTTGGGTTAATGCGGCGCAGAGCGACACAAGTGAACTTCGCAAGCTGCAAGTCAGCCCGCCCATGAGAACCAAGACCAGTCCGTAGCATAGTCTCCATCTCTCCAACAACAATCTCCGGGTTGGCGGTAGCAAGCATGCCGAGCACGATGATGGCACCTCGTCGCTGGGTACGTGAAATCTCTCGCTTCTGAACACCATAGACTTGCCAAAGTTTGGCAATAACCATATCTGGGATCATGCCACCCTTCATCATCGTACTGAGGAGCTGCTCAAGGGATGTCAGCTCAGCCGGTGTAGCGCCAAATGTCAGACTGATCATATTTCGGGCGATGTAGTTCGCGGCATCATTCGGGCTGAAGGAGTCAGGAGCCTCGAAGAAGAGACGCTTATAGCACTCAATAAGATGAGTCTGTACGCCCTTTCCTTCGTCGCTGTTGCCCTTGGTCCAGATTAGGCGAAGCATTCGCCTGATTCCGACCTTGTTCTGCTCAATATTGTATGCATCGCCAATCTCGAAGTACTCCATAGCCTCAATGACCTCACTTTTGTTCTTGGAGCCAAGAAGCTGGCAGACAGTCCCCGTAGCCTCGTGGAGGACATCAATGAACTTAAGTGCCTCGGTGTAGTAACGCTTGGTCAAAGTCAGCTTCTCGATCGCCTCTGAGGTCGCTGCCTCCTCTTGTGCCTTTCGGATGGCAGCGATCTTTTCCTCCTCTGTCATCTCGGTAGACTGTTTCTTGGGTGACTCAATTTGTGTAGCGTCATCCAGGAGCTCATTGTCGACAGTCGTGTTGCCCTTGTCACCCAGATCAGGTGCACCAGCAGGCGGCTTCAGAGATTGAAGCTCGCTCTCAACCTTATCTAGCCGCTCCTGCCAGTCCTTCCTTGAAAGCTGTGCCCCGTGCATGACGGTGAAGGGGTGCGTCTTGATCAAGGATCCAAGAAGCTTGATAGCGTTTCTGCGCACATTGCTGCTCTTGTCTTCAAGACTGCGGCAGGCTAACTCGGCAGCCTTCTGTCGCCTCTTGGGGAACTTTTGCTCAAGATCGCACAACTTCACGTAAACCTGGATAGCCCTGCATCTGCAGTAAGGGTTGATGTCCAGGAAACGCTCCTCCAATACATCGAAGAAAGCATTGAGCTGTGACTTGTAATTTTCTCCTCGCTCTTCCTGCTTGCTCAGGTATGCGAGCATATTGCCACACACTTCTATCAAGGCGCAACGCAGCGTGTAAGACTATTGATGTTAGATTGAACATTCCACAATCGATATATGACAATATACCTCGCTGTCCAATTGCTTCGCTAGCATCGTCATTTGCTTGATCACCAGTCGTGGTGCCAACTCAGATAGTTTCACGATGAACGACGACACTGACTTGGGTCCCTTCGTGTCATTGCTGTTGAACTCCTTGTTACTGAGTTCTCTAAGAATCTCGTCGGCGAGCTGGGGATAGTCATATTGTTCAGCAAGGATGTGTAAAAATTCGGCCATTGGCTCAGACAAATGCTCGAAATAAGTCAAGTTCTGGACAATGGAGATTTGTGCAGCTACATAGGATCAGTGCCATGGTCTCATCAATGAAGGTGTAAACTTACCATATCCATGACCGTGGTGCTTCACTGCAATGCAGAGCACCTTGAAAGCGTGCATGCGGATCGAGGTATTCTTCACCCGCTGCTCGCTTTCCAGGACCAGATAGACTGGTCGCGTCAACAGACCGATGAATGTATCCCTCTCTGATGTTGTGAGAAAGATCTTCCCGAGCTTCAGGCGTAGCACCTTGCACATCGTCTCGAGCGCAGTCTGCAGTTGGGTGGCGCTGTCCCAGACGGCATCCTTGTCCTTGTCTGCCGCACCCTTCTTGCCCTTGGGCTTGCCGCGGCCGCGGGCGACTGGCGCCGAGGAAGACTTCTCTGCTGCCTTGGTCTCGACCGCGGCGATGGTCCATTGTAGAAGGAAGCCATAGATCTCGAGGAGTTGCTTGTGATGCGAGAGCAGCTCCTGCTCGTCAGACTCGAGATCGTTATGGATGATGTCGGCTTCGGTCGAGAGACCCGAGATGATCAAGTCAAAGACCTTCGACAACGCGTGTGTCGGAAGAAAGGATGTGTATCTGGATTGTTCAAAGAGCTCAGAAATTGGTTCTCGGCTTGCGACTAGACGACAGTCCTATTGCTGTGTAGTACAAGACGGACGTGCTACATAGTCTCTAGAAGAAGAGGAAGACAAAGGGGCAAGGGAAATGGGTGCACACTTTAGAAGGAATTGGAGCGAGTCAAAATGCGCGCTCCTGGTGATGGCATCGGGATTCTCTGCAACCGCATCCACGATGGGATTCAACACGGGGTTGATAACGCCGTTGGTGAGAGCCTCTGGGTCGTTCTCGCAGTCGAAAAGCGCGCCATCTGCTTCAGGAGTCGGAATAGCAGCTGGATCGCTCATATAATGCTTGAGCGCATCGTTGATGTCGAAGTTGATATTGTCCATCGCGGCGACGGATCGCTGGAAGGCGGTCGATTTTCTGAAGGTTCGATTTCGCAGTCCAGGAAGAAATAGAATAATAAAACGTCCCAACCATCCGCTAGAGAAGAAGTACCAGCAACAGCACTGGTTGCAGTCTCGATCGTTGCCTTTTCGTTTAGGAGTGCGGCGATGATGATGCGCTGGTGTTGTTCTTCGCTTGGACGTAATGCGACCCCCGCCTAGCAACGGATTGTTTTTGTTTTCTTTGGCGGGACGCGCCTGCCAGCCCCACCAATGGAGGCGGGCACTAACACCGCGTTTGCACCTGCAGACCATGCCTCTTACCGAGTGCGGCCCCTCCACACCAGCACGGCATGCCCTCCAGTGAGGTACTTGACTGCTATTGCATTACAATAGCCAATCCTTGCCCAGGCGTGCGATAAAGCTGCAATTATTCCCTACTACAATTCGTTGGCAGTTAATTGCCTTTCTCTGACACACAGCCGAGGGTTCTGCAGGGCTGGTAGGGCTGCCAATTGTCTCCAGTCGCGTCTTCGGAGCCGAGACCTTCGAGGTAGTTGAAGTCAACCACTACAATGGCGACCACTCTGCGTCGGCGTCGCGCCGAGGACTTCGCAATCCACGAGGATGTTCCCTCCACGGAGGATACGGAGATGAACACAGACGCTCTTCAGGAGGAGGAAGAGACCGAGGAACTTGAGGACGAGCAAGAGGCAGAAGAAGACGACGATGACAACGCTTCTGAGAGCTCCGACGACGGCATTGTGGACAACGGTGTTCAATTGGATATGGAGAAGCTGCAAGATAGTTTCCCCGGCTTTCGCCAGAAGTACCGCTTGATCAAGAGAATTGGTGAAGGTATGATACCAGTTCCCGTGGCAGACTTGGACCAGACACTGATGACTCTTCAAAGGCACTTTTTCAACAGTATACAAAGCAGAGGATCTGCAGTATGAGCGATTCGATAATTCATGGGATATCGAGAAGGAGAATGAGAAGTGGACGCCGCCACCCCTGAAGCAGCACACCAGTCGCAGCTCATCCGTGACACTCGAGCAAACCTCTCAGGTACACAGTCAGGGACAGGTGTCGAATCGCCAACGAAGAAAGCCGAAGTTTGTTGCAATTAAGAAGATTTACGTGACATCGTCACCATCTCGTATTCTCAATGAGCTCGAGCTTCTGCACGACCTTAAGGAGTGTCCTTCCGTCTGTCCTCTCATCACTGCATTCCGCCATACCGATCAAGTCGTGGCAATCCTGCCATACTTCCGTCATGCGGATTTTAGGGACTACTTCCGCAAGATGACGGTGCCAGACATGGCTATTTACCTAAGGGCGCTGTTCACCGCTCTGTCCTCTGTGCATGCCCACGGCATCCTGCATAGAGATATCAAGCCTACGAACTTCTTGTACGACCCGGCTACGCAGCGCGGTGTGTTGGTGGACTTCGGTCTGGCAGAGCGCGAGGGAGTCGAGTCCAAGCCGTGTCTTTGCCATGATGACCCGCAAGTCCGCAAGGCGAAGCTGCGTGCTACATACAACCCCTCGGCTCCTCACAATGGGTACCCGAAGAATGACACGCGTCCCTCTCGGCGAGCAAACCGTGCGGGCACGCGTGGATTCCGTGCCCCGGAGGTGTTGTTCAAGTGCACTGAGCAGACGACCAAGATCGACATTTGGTCCGCGGGCGTCATCCTACTCACCATCCTTTCCCGTCGCTTCCCCTTTTTCAATTCGGCAGATGACGTCGAGGCCATGATTGAGATAGCAACGATATTTGGCCAGAAGAGGATGCGACAGGCTGGTCAGCTACATGGTTGCATGTTTGAGACAACCATTCCTACCATCGGAACTCAGGGCTTCTCCCTCGAGAGGATCATACTCTGGTCGACCTGCCGAGTAGATAGCGGCAAGCCTCTCGAAGATGACGAGAAGCTGGCCGTAGACTTCCTAAGTCGCTGTCTGGAGCTAAATCCTAGCAACCGTATTAGCGCAGAGGAGGCATTGGAGCATGAGTTCCTTCGTGTCTCAACTGAGCAGTCGGTTGAGCTAGATGACGATGAAATGGACATGTTGAAGGTCTGAACATTTGTCTGGCCGAGAGATCTGCCTCGTTGTATAATTACTGTATTTTAGTCAATAGCCTGGAAAATACTCATCAGGTCGATTAGACTTGGCGTCGGGGTTAGTTGGCACATAGTTGGCGTCCTGGAGTTTAGGTAGCATGCAAATACTGCTTGCGTAAGAGTAAAACTGAGCTGAATAGCCTGGCGGCTTTTGATATTTCTGCTCTTTCAGTCCCAATGTGTCAAGTGCTCGTGTCCTGGCGACTTGCGCATGGTTTCCAACAGTTCACATCACAAGAAGTAAATCAAGTCAAGAATGCCTTTTTTTCATTCAGAACTCCCTGTAGAAGCCGTATCATGCAATGCGCAAAGCCGACCAAGGTCCCTTCCTGTAACAACCGGTGCAAAAGGGTGAACGCCTCCGAACTTCTTCCGGTTCGTGGCATCCGATATTGCCATGTCCATCTTGGAATCCCTTCCCACTAAATTATGCGACCAGCTCAACAACACCACCTGCCTCGGTGACTACAGTCCAAAGGTCAGTATAAATTTATTCCAGCGTGGGAAATAATGTAACCTACTCTTCTTCTCAGCGAGCTTGCTGACCCATCTTGCGCGCACAACCAACGGGATCTCGGGCAGTCTGCCCTTCCCGAGAACCTTGCTGTAGCCGAGGGGGAGGAGGTCGAGAACGGGGGCGGTATCGGTCTTCTTGCCAGAGACATATGCGTCACGGGTCTCAGCGGGGACCAGGCTCCAGAGCTGTAGAATACCGTGTCAGTAAATCCTTGGCCTGAGAATACTGCATGCACCATGCGCTTTCCCCATCTCGTAGAACCAAATCTCGTCGTAGACTGTCCATTATCCGCCTATCGCTCTTCATCCACCAAAATTTCGACTACTTCAAAAACAAAACAAAATTTTTTTTTGGAGCGCCAGGGGAGAGGGTGTATTTACCTTGTCCAGGTTCTATTCAAAGTCAACGACAAGTCCAAAGCATTAGGCGTAAATAGGATGACTTACGATCACGGGCTTCCAGTAGTGGTTCTGGAGAGTGTGGAAGTGGCGCATACCGACCTTACCGAAGTAACCGGGGTGGTACTTGTCCATGTTGGTACGGTCTGCACAATATATGATCAGCCTCTATGGTCCCAACCATCCCCTGTACCGGTGCTTTGCATCAATCAAGATAGATCGGACTCGCTGAAAGCATAGATCGTCGATCGAATTCGAGTTGACCATGAACCGGTTTCGTGTATTGAGGGAGTACTCACGATGGTGCTGGCCACCAGCCAGACCACGACCACCCGGGTGCTTTCTGTGCTGCTGAGAGTTAGTCACCAAGTCCCTTGTCGCATGTCGCAGAAACACTTGCCTTGCCAACACGACCGTTACCGGCCGAGACGTGGCCACGGCTGTATTAAAATAACGTCAGCAGTTGTTCTTGAGTTATACAATGTTCCATCGACGGCCGAGAGTGACGCCAATCGCCCTGTGGAATTGATTGAGACGGCGGCATCGAGTCGGGGAGTCGAAGGATACTAGGACATATCTAGGGTACTAACTGCTTGCCTGGAGATTGTTAGCATTGACAGAGACACAAGGGAAACCGGCATCAACATACGGGTCTTGGTGAATCTGGTAGGCATCTTGACGGCTGGCTGATGCGGAACCTCTTTGTTGTCGTGATGAGGGTTTTCGACGTTTAGAGCCCACTCGCAAGATTTTGGTGCATTTGCTGTTTTTTTCGCCAGGCTGTGGGCGTGAAAGTGTGGGGCCGTGAAGTTTTTCCGCCCGGAATATCTGGGTTAAACGATGATGACGAGGAAAGTATGCCCCACCCTCAGTGTCATTGCAAGCCAGCTGGCTGCCCTTAGTGAGCAGCTGGCGCCACCTTCCCTCCAATTAACTATGGTCATCAGAAGCGAGTTGACACCTGCCAGTGGACAGTATTTATGAAATATTTGGTCAAGACCTCCGTTATATGTTGCTCATGATCTTGGAGTCGGTAATTATTTGGATCAAACACGTGCGCAGTGATCAATTGACAAGCATAGTGAACCCAGGATCTTCCGACCAGGGATTCGTCTGCCACCAGTCGATTTGGCCCGTGCGCGTTCTCGAAGTCCTAACTTTGGAGAGCTTCATGTTTCTGAGATGCCCTTTCCAATTCATAGACTAGACGGTGTCAACTCATCTATTGACCTTACCTCTGCCAATACCATCGCCGTACCCTTATGACCACGCCGTCAAAGCCGCTTGATTTTATGTGGTGAACAACCAGAACAATATGAAATCATTTTGCAAATTATGGCAACAAACATCTCGGGCGAGTTGTCCGAAACTTCTAAGGACGCGTTGAAGTTCCACCACCCATACACGCCTTACGATGTACAGCTTGAGTTCATGAAAGCCACATATGATGTCCTACAGGAAGGTAATGGTCAAGTCGGCATCCTGGAAAGTCCGACTGGCACAGGAAAATCATTGTCCCTGATTTGCGCCGCTGTCACCTGGCTACGCAACCAGAAAAGGGGACAATTTGAAGAATCCCTGCAAGTAGACCGAGATCAGTTCAAAAATGAACCAGATTGGATGATCGATCAAATGCTTCGAAGGAAACGCGATGACCTCGTGCGTCGTTGGGAGGAGCGAGAGGGCCGACTTACAAAGATCCGCATGAAAGAGAAGTCGATGGAACAACGGGCTGCGATCAAACGAAGGCGCCTGGAAAACCCAAACATGAAAGGTCTTGATAAAGACGAAGAAGATGAGTTTCTTCTTGACAACTGGAACAGTCAAGACGTCGACGAAAACGGCTCTCTTGCTACTTTCAGCAAGGAAACTCAGGCTCTACTGGAGAAGGTTGGACTCGGCGCACCGAAATCCCAAGATCCCGACGATAGTGAGCCCGATGACGAGATCAAAGTATGTGCATTTCTGCACGGCAAATGACACACTGCAGACTGACTAGTTTCAGATTTACTACACATCTCGAACACATTCTCAACTGACGCAATTCGTATCGGAGCTCAGAAAGCCGAATTTCCCATCTTCCTTACCAGCAAAACTCCTTCACTCCCAATCGCTTGAGCAGGGGAAAAATTATGAAACTATAAAACATATTCCGTTATCATCCCGCCAGAAGCTGTGCATCAACCCAAGCGTCTCACGATTGAGTTCACTCTCTGCAATCAACGATCGCTGCTCAGAGCTTCAACAGCCAAAGTCGAAAGATAGGTGTCCATATGTGCCGAATGCCGACAACCTAATTGTAACTCATCAGTTTCGAGACACCGCTTTGGCGACACTCCCTGATATCGAAGATATGCACCAAGTCGGTAAAACTCTCCAGGTCTGTCCATATTATGCATCACGTACGGCAATACCCGGTGCAGAGATCATCACCTTGCCGTATCCGCTACTTCTACAAAAGTCTGCCCGAGACGCGCTAGGTATCAAGCTCGAAGGAAACGTTGTTATCATTGATGAGGCACACAACATCATGGATGCTGTTGCCAATGTGTTCGCCGCAGAAATACGACTCAGCGAACTCCGAAAAGCTAGGCAAATATTGGGCTTCTACGTGAAACGCTTTGGGAAGAAACTGAAAGGCGAAAATCGGGTCCTGGTCGCACGAGTAGCAAAAGTTGTTGACGGACTGAGCACATGGTTGGACAAAACCCTGAGCTCGAAGGTGGGACGAACAACACTCCCAGTCATTACTTACTCGCATGTGTGACTAACCCTGTGAATAGGGCGATCATGGTATTGTCGATCCCAATGCTCTACTGGAAACGAAAGGCATTGATCAAATTGATTTGTTCGAACTGATCAAATACATACAAGAATCCAAGCTTGCCTTCAAAGTGGAGAGCTACGCCAGTCATATCGAACAGCAAGAAGGCTCTCAAGAGCAGAGGACTTCGTCCTCGCCAGTCCTCCATACTCTAGTTTCGTTCATCACCGCTCTCACCAACCTCAGCAGTGAAGGAAGAATATTCTTCGAGAAGTTATCAGGGGCACCGGCAGACATTAAACTATCATACTTACTCCTATCGCCCACACACGCGTTCTCAAGCATCGCTACAAGCGCTCGGGCTATAATACTGGCAGGTGGTACCATGTCACCATTTGATGACTATAAAGCACATCTCTTCCCTTACCTTGCCTCGGAGAAAATAAAGACGCTCAGCTGCGGTCATGTTATCCCTCCATCCAACCTATGCGCGTGGACCCTGGCATCATCGCGTCCCGGTGGGAGTGACTCCTTCGAGTTTAGCTTTCAAAAGCGAAGTGATCGTGGTGTCGTCCGCCAGCTGGGACTAGCACTGCTCAATATTTGTTCCGTTGTGCCTGATGGAGTGGTTGTATTCTTCCCAAGCTACGGCTATCTAGATGAAGTCGTCAAAGCGTGGGAAGTATCAGAAGACACCAAGTCTGTTTGGGAGAGGCTACAAACCAAAAAGGCAGTCTTTCGAGAAACAAAGTCAGGTTCTAGTGATGAGGTCCTCCAGGCTTACACCACTGCAATTTTGGGAGACGACGCCGACGCGGTCAAATATGGCGGGAGCCCTTCTGGAAAAGGCGCGCTGCTACTCAGTGTTGTCGGAGGGAAGATGAGCGAAGGTATCAACTTTTCGGACCGCCTCGGCCGGTGTGTGGTCATTGTTGGATTGCCTTACCCCAACATCAACTCTCCTGAATGGAAAGCGCGGATAGAATACATCGAGTCCTCTACACTTGCTAGGCTGACTGCGCCTTCGGAGACGGAGACGGAAATCAATAATGCTGGATCAATTTCCAAAACTCCGGCAATCTCTCGCGAGCAAGCTATCGCGATATCGAAACAAGCCGCCCGAGACTTTTACGAGAACGCGTGCATGCGTGCGGTCAATCAGAGTATTGGCCGCGCCATCAGACATCAGAACGATTACGCCTCAATCGTGCTTGTGGATAGACGATTTGGAACAGATCGGATCCGCAAGAAGCTACCAGGGTGGATCCGCGGTGGAATGGTTCAAGGAAGCGAGGATAAAGGACTGCAAGGCTTGATGGGTGCTCTCAGTACATTCTTTCGTAATAAAAAGGCAAACGAAACTTAGTTGGCTTCAACCAACAATTAAATAACTTGATCGGTACCCAGTTCGAAGCCTCATTACCAGAATTATCTGAGACATGCGTTAGTCCCGTTTGTGATGCCGATAGCAACTATCATTGCCACTCTTTCATCGAGGCTTTGCTTCGTGCTCTCTCTCGGCTCAACACTTCTATGTTTACCGCTTGAAGCTTGAAAATGGAATTTGACGCTCCTTGCTCGCTTCTTGTTTGTTGTGGTATCGATATTGGGATGTTCGCCAAGTCTAGCACGCATGCAGGTCCACTGGTGCAGGGGTTGATGTGGTGCGTCGCGTTAATTTGGAAGCGCTGAAACGCTGTGGCGTCGACAAGGCGTATTTTCCCAAGTCCAACTGAAAATCGAGATAGCAGTAGTCTCAAGTTCAAGCCTTCTCTCTTCTCAATTCCAGACTCATTTGTAGTCTCGGTTCGTATCATTTCAAGCTCTGATTCTGCTGTCGCAGCCGTACAGCAACTTTGAATACCTATGGACTGCAAATCTTAAGCATGGATCCTATCAGTGCTATCGGGACGGTTGCCGCATCGGTCCAGTTCGCAGACGTTGCCTTTAGGAGCATTCTCAAAACAATCAAGTTCCTGAAGGCGCTCGAAGGGACGCCCGCCAGGACCAAGAAACTACTTTCTGACGTCGACAAATCTATTGCCCGAATTGTTCAGATTCAGCAAACCTTGCAAAATGGCCCAGACAATGACCTAAGTGTGCTGTCGGCTGTCCAGCTCGCGGCTCTGGAGTCTAGTCTCAATGATGGATTGCGAGCGATGAGTGGTCTGCAAGCGCTCTTGGAGCCGCTCGTTCTCGGTCAAAATGTCCACTCTGGAACTCGAAGATTGTGGAATGCGGTAGTTTCGAAGAAACTCTGGCCTGATATTGAGGAGTATCTCGAAGACATCCAGCGACATAATGATAACATCTTGAGAGAGCTCCAACTCAGCGGTATTAACATGCAAATCTGGCTTGCGTAAGTCCTCAAGACTTGTTCAAGTCCGTCGTTAACCCTTCTGTAGAGACAACTTGAGTAAAACTTTAGCAACTGTGGAGCAGTCTCGTTCGATCGAAGAAACCCGACTTGGGAGACTTCAAACAATCACTGAGGCAGTTTTTGAAGAAGCTATGAGCACGAACTCGAGTATTTCTCATTTGAGAAGCCATTTCGAGCACGAGTCCACTAGAACGAGACAAGAGATCATAGAAGCGGTCATGCCTCTGATACTAGGACAACAATCTTCCTTATCGAACCTCCAACAAAGTATAGACAGGCTTTCGCAAGGAAATCAGATTTTATTAGGAACAGAAGTTAGGCGAGAGCTGATAATGCACCCAAGTAGCCTGAAAGATGTTTGTGATTTCACAACGCGGCAAATGGAGCAATTGAAAGTCGGATCTCAGTTTAGAAGCTCATGCTCCTGTCGCAAACGAAGGAATGCCGGCATCGATTTTGGATTTCTCTCCTTTCGGTACCAGCACCGGATTATACACACGGCAGACTGTCCCGAGAAGTATTCTCAGGCGAGTTCCCAGAGACTTCGGCTAGCAATTCAGCTTCTTCCATTCCTTGATAAGACAGTGGAAATGACGTTTGGGGCGACTTTCCAAGGCGGTGGTTTTCAGCTTCAGCCTCCGCTAAGGGTCTTTACTACAGTCAAGAGATCGGATTCGTCGATTTTTCAGCTCTTCGAGACTTTTCCAGAGAGATGCAGAGCTGAGCCAACAGGCTCACAATGGGTTGATCATGGCTGGAAGACCGCTCGTAACGGTAAAATGGAGTAATCATTTTACTGCTACACCTGGGATGTGAATATTGTGAAGATCGAGTTGCAGCAGCTGCGTCGATCTCTTCTAGATATACGTAAACAAGAACCGGGCTCACTTCATCATAGAGATGAGCTGGGGCATACAATTTTGCATGTCAGTACCGCTACGCGATAGTGTATACGGGCATAAGTCACTGATCGCTCATAGGAAATTGTGATGCTAATTGGCTTGATGGCTCCAATTTACTCGGAGGTCATGGAGGAAGTGGAGTCGTTGCTCCTGCTGGCCGATCGATCTCATATCGACGTTGACGCGACAGCAAATATCGCCAGCAACATACGAAGAAATTCGCCTGAGGAAGTTGTTGGGAAGAATCAATTCAAATCAATAAAGTAAGTTGAGATACGCTCTATATTTTGTTCAAGATTGACAACTCATGACGAAAAGGGATTGTACTGCGGGAGATCTCGCTCGGGACTTTGTACGAATGTTTCACCGAGAATTGAAGGACTCCTCATTCTTGAACTGTATCGCCGCTTTCTGTCCTGTCGATTTTGCAAACGATATACTGGATGAGCCTGATGCCAATCGCAAAGGTTTACCACTCAACATGAGATCCTCATTGCTGGTCTCCCTCTATCGCGAGCCATGGCTGATCAAATGTTCGTCTTCTTTATTCTTCGTCCGACCATATATAACTACTGAATACTTTCTTTCTATAGATTTCTATGATGATGACCTCCCCGGGATCCTGTTATGTCAACGACTCGATGATCTGAAAAAGATTCTCCCAAAATTAGACGTGCGTCAAGAATATCCTTGGAAAATACCATTGAGTGCGTTGGAACTAGCAGTTGGCTGGCCTGATGGTCTGAAACTCCTTTCGAGTATTTGGCCACACAGCATTACACCGGCAATCGGATTGGCATCCCACCGCGAGGAATGGGGCTCGTTGGAAGTGCTTTGCGATTTCCCTCTTCCTCTCTTCAGAGATCACATTGAGCTTCGAGATTTCGTTGCAGATCTCCTGCGCAACGGGATGTTCCTTGTTGACGGGCTCACGCAGCGACGAGAGGAGCTAGCTCTTCTTGCTTGTCAATACTTGCCATTACATGAACAACTTCAATTCCGTCTGGCAGGAATGAACACCCTAGACAGCCAAGCTCACGCCGTCTATAACATACTAAAACGCAGGGGTATTTCTGTTCCTGTCTCCCTGGATCCGGGCCCTCCTGGTTCGATATATAATTTCATCGCCGCAATATTCGCTGACCCTGCTCTTCAATTTCCTAGCTTCAACTGCGTCATGGTACTCGATCATCTCTACAGTATGGGATTCCGCGACATTGATGAACGGTATCCTCACCCTAGTGGATTGGAGGAGTTGCAATATGGCTACTCAGGGGAACAAGAGCTTACTGAGCGGCCCATATGTACGCCAGTGGAAGATATACTACACCGAGCAAGGATGAAAAATGCTCACTGGGCAGCAATGGTTGCCTGGTTCCTACGTATGGGTGCCAGGTCAAGCTGGGAGCCTCGTGGGAACATCTCAAATGTCCTGTTCGGCATTGCGAAGTCGTTATCGAGGTATGACGAAGAAAACTTCGTGAAATACCATGATGAAGCTTCAATTCGTCTTCTGATCCAGTACTGCGCTTCTCTCTATTCACCTCTTGAGACGGATGGGTGTGATTGCTTTTGCTCTTCGAGGGGCTGTTTGTCTCTCCACCACATCCTCGAAAATACTACGTACTCGACCCAGTACAGGTGCCATCTTCACCAAGGATACCGAATGTGGTACTGGATGAACGCTTGTGGCATATCGGACGATGATCGGGAACTCTGCCTGGAAGAGGCCGTGCGATATGAGCTTTTTAATCGACTGGATATGTCGCACACATGCTGTCTCGGCCCACGGTCAATGACTGAGACAGAGAGA